AACAATGTGTGTGCTATATAAATATTTCTAAAATAAATTATTTTTTATTTTTGACAAATTATTATACTTCACAAAGAATATATTTTGTTTTCATATTAAAATCTATATATATATATATATAGGAATTCTCAAAATAAAGTTTATCACATACTAACATTCATCATTTAGATCTGATTTTCTCGTTTGAAACTTGAACACAAAAGCCCAAGTAGTTTTTAGAATACATACAAGATTGTAAATAAATTTTATTCATCTTGAAGCGATAAGTCTTCTTGTACAGTCGATAAGTCAATTTCTCGCCAAAAAGAGTGAAAAAAGAGAGAATCTCGTGTGATTCTTTAAAATAAGATATTCGTGCAAAGGTGGATAGTGTATTTCGCGCCGAGAAAAACTTCGAGATCGCGAATGTTCCTCAAAACGAGCGTCGAGGATGAAGAGACGAGAGAGCGTCGTATGTGTATAAAACGATGAAAAATCCCACCCGCGTCCCGTCCTAACCTATATATCTCGCAGCGCGAGATCGCAATAACGTACTTTCTCGCAGGTGTGGCATTCAATAATCCACAGATCAAAGGGAAGCCCCGACATGGAGTTCGCGAAACGACGAACGATACACGTCACTGCCATTATTACCCGTGTATATCATGGTGTATCGGAACCAATGGTGTACCTGTTGGGGCGGCAGGTACCAAACACAATGTATCAAGGGGAAGAAATCGGCTGGGGTGGATAGATAGGGGAGGGGAAGGTAAAGGGTGCCCCAAAACGCGCGCTACCCACGCGTGACTGAACACACATACACGGCTCGCTTTAAGGGGGTTGAACATATCAATGAAGGCAGTTGGATCAGGAAAGCAATTAGAGAGCATTATCCTGAGTAACTGCATAAACCCTCACTCTTTTCGCCAAAGATGGACCAGGGGAGCTAATAAGCGACGCACACTCTGTGTTAATATATTTTGCCATGTGTCGGGGGAAAGGTGGCTATTCTGTATATTTTATCCCTCTTTGAAAAAAACTACATAATATAATATATAATAAAACATGATTCTTCTTATATACATATATATGAGAAGAAAAATCTCTGTTATATTTTGATAAGAAAAAATCATAACACTTGTTACTTGATATTATTGATTAGAAGAATTGTAACTGGATATCTAAGGGTCACTTGTTTTGATATACATATCAGCCAATTAATATAAGAATAGGAAGAAAAAGAAATATGCTATAATATTACCTCGCATAATAGTCTTTGCCCTAATATAACTAAGCAGCCTAGCATTGCGAATAATAAATATGTAAAGAAAAAAAATACTCTACTGTTCTGATAATGTTACATGTAGCTGTAAATACATTTCTAAATCGAAATTTGAAGAATTTTATCCATTCATATTTTTTAAATACAAGTAGAATATCTTTTCTTAATATGATTTTTATGTAAAACTTTGGAGCATTTGTTATATTCTATGTTATTTTTTTAGATATACTTAACATTATATTTAGACTTGGGGTGATGTCTTACATAGCATTTGCCAAATGTTACTGAGCAGGCTGATATGATAGTCTGTGTTTGTTACCTATCTACCTACCTACATACATAATGTCATAAATGCACCTGGCCACTGTTATGCATGGCTGATTGGGAGAAACTTATGTTCTTTAGTCTTTCCTATTGATACAATACATTTATGTATTTCATTTATATTCAATTTTCCCATGTATTTAATTGTGTGTGTAAAAAAGAATTTATTACTTAAATTTACACATATATCACATAAACTGTATACTTTTCTGTATATTGATATTTTTTTTCTTAACCCCTATGAAAATAATGCACCTGGAGTCAGATAAACTCAGGGTGAGAACTTATGCAGATGTTACAAAGTAAAAGGGAGAGATAAGAAATAGATAGCATGAAATCTAACGATAAACATTAGCGACAAAAAATGTAGATGAATCATAAAAAAAGTAAAACATAGCTCTTAATATAAATTACACAGTATGTTCAAAGAAATTAATTTTGAAGCAAATTGAAGCAAAAATGGCTGAAAGAATAAATATATTCATCAACTTGGAGATATCAGTTGCAAAGATCTTACAGCTGAAAGATTGCATTCATGGATAATCGATAAACCCATTTTAATTGGAAAACCTCGTTGCTTCTCAATATTACATACCCCATAGAAAGTATACTATAATAGGGTTGCCAATGCATTACAAATTAGGGGAATGAAGCCAGAGATCTACAACGATCTCCCTGTTAAAGACCCTGTTAAAGACTGTTCCAATATGATGTTCGTGTTCAATCAATATCTATTATATGTACAAAATTGATGACAATAACATGGAGAAAGAAATTGATAGAGTAAAATTACACGATTCAAAAGATATAATTCTAATTTTGCCTTTACATACACTGCAATCTAGAGAAACCCAATTGAGATCAATTGTAACAAATAGATTATATAGATTCTCCGCAAGATAAATTTGCTGCGATTTAACAATCCATATTACTACTGTGTGAGCAACAATTACATTCTGTACATTTAAAATTCCAGAAATTCAAACTTTGATAGAGGGATAATTTCAAAGTATCTCCTTAAAAAAAAAAAAAAAACCTGCACCCTCACTGCACAAGTCGAAAAATGATTGCATCAACTGTCATGAGAACGACGTCTCCGTCGCCGTCACTTGAAATTCCGAAATTAACGATCAGGATTTCGGACGACTATGCTCCGATGACCCGTCGACCTCTCTCTCTCTCTCTTTCACTCACCTGTCTTCATGAATGGCTTGTACTCGAACGCAACGGCGCCCGGGCGCACTCGTGCGGCCGAACGACGTGTCTCCCCGTCCTCGTCGTCGTCGTCGTCGTCGTCGTCGTCGTCGTCGTCGTCGTCGTCGTCGTCGTCGTCAAGCGGGTGCGCTCTCTATCTCTTTCCCTCTCTCTCTCCCCGTCTCCTTTTTCCCTCTGTCATACGCGCGCACGCACACACGTACACTCTTTTTCTCGCTCGCCTTCGTTGCTCGGTCCCTCGGTCCCGAAGGCGGCCCGTCACCCAGGAGACCGCGGTCGGCTCGTAGGGTTCGCCCGGCGCCGGTACAAAGTGTGAAAAGAGCGGAGCGACACACTCCGACAAATCTCTATACTTTGTTGTGGACGGCTGGCCGGAGTGGTGTTGCTTGTCTGCTGCTACGGTCGCCTTGGCTACGGCATCACTGACCGCGTCACGATCAGGAGCGTATTCGACGCCCGTTGCGCCACGGATGGCTTTTCCGTCGCGATTTAAATTCTATTCACTCGCCTCAAATCGGCTTACGTTCGTTTCGTCCCAATTCCCTGCGATTAGGCGATAATGCGCGAGGTCCTTTCAATGACGGAAAGCTCACGTCGATGACAAGTGCGTGTCATAATGCGGCTTTTCGGCGCCATCTTTGGCGCGCGCAACTCTGGTTGCGCGCGCATCAGATTCAATAACGTAACTAGGGGCCTCGTCTATCTTTATGCTTCTTTTATCTCTCTATTAAATTTCCTTTATTTTTATCGAAATAAAATTGTAATTTAAATAAGTAAAAAATGTATGATTAAAAGGAATGTTTTTTTTTAAATAAATAAATCCGAATATACTTTGCAAACGGATCCTTAGCTCATACGTTAATGACGTAACTAGGGGTCTCGTCTATCTTCATGTTTCTTTTATCTCTCTTTTAAATTTCCCTTATTTTTATCGAAATAAAATTGTAATTTAAATAAGTAAAAAAATGTATGATTAAAAGAAATATATATATTTTTTAAATAAATAAATCCGAATATATTTTGTAAACGGATCCCTAGCTTATACGCTAATGACGTAATTAGGGCCTGATCTGGCTTTGCATTTGTCTTATCTTTTCTTTAAATTTCTTATTCCTTTATTTTCATCAAAATAAAATTGCATTTAAGGAGAGAAAAAAAACTGTTGAATTAAAAAGAAACTTTAGATAAATCAACCGGCGCTAATTATTATTACGTTAGGAATAATTACTTACACAATGGTTGGTTTCTGAGAAAATAGTAAGGCATGTCCGACCAATATTCGTCCACCATCTTGCTGGCGAAATTTTTTTCGGCGGGATCGTTTCGAGTTGGTTTCGCGCCCAGCTGTTCCTTTCTTCCTGTCGGCACTTTCGAATCGTCGAAATTCGCGGGAAATCCTCGAATTCGGCGGTTTCCAAAGATACCGTTTCCACGGGATATCCACGAAAATATTTTCCGCGAGACTCGCGCGAGACGATCCTCGGGCGCTCTCCTCGACGATAACAATTGCGGATCGTCGGTCGATTTTTTTACGCCTAACGTCGTCTGCCATTGTTGCTTTAGCGCATCGCGTCGGCGTAGAAAATCTGAAATTCACGAATAAATTTGTCAAAATGACAAATTTATGTTTATATTAATTTATATTTGATATTAGAGGGATCGCTTACCTCGGGAAAAATGCTATGCGACACATTATCGTGCATGTTATACCTTGTTCGGAAAATGAGTCGATCGGACCTGTGTCAGATAAGTACGAAGTTGGCCAAGCATTTTAAATCGATGATCGACGTGTGTGTCGCCAGTAGCGAATTAACCTAGTTCCGGGCCATCAAATTCTCGTCTATAAAATAAAACGATAAATCAATATAATTTCTTCAGATTCAACCTTCGAAGCTAAAAACGCGTAGAAAATAATCTATATGTTTATAAATCCTGTATAATAAGATAAAATGAAATTTTCTTGACTAGAATCGAAAATTTGAGAAGTTATTAAAATTCCCGCTCCTCGTCTGAAGTAATAAAAAAATGGAGAAAATTGGATCATTTCGCATATGTAATCTAAAAAATATATTTAAAAAATATAAAATAAAATATATTTTAATGTAATGTAAAATAATATTGATATAATACACATACACAATTAATAGAAATTTGGGCATTATATCGAAGCGTACTCCCCCTCATGCGCCCTTATCGGCTCTTGTTTGCGCAGGACATGCGCGCATATGCTTGCTGCGAGCTGCGAGGGCGGCTTGGCGGCTGGCGTTGTCATCACGGTGTTGTCCAGCTGTCGCGAAAGATGATGACCTCGTCGGAAACGTCGGAGGTGGAGAATCTGGGAGGCGAGAAGGGTCCCGAGGACTCGGCGATCCTGGAAGTGAGCTCCATGGCGGTGGGCGGGATCGTGAAGCAGGAGAGCCGCGACGTCGATTTCCTGTCCAACTGCAGCACCTCCATCGAAGGCTCCGTGGTACGAGAACCTACGTAACATAACCTGGGACCCACTTTGACAGTTCGTTTTTGCGCCTCCTGTTTTGCTCGACATCGCTTCATAAAATGATTAATATGTAAATTAAAATTGTAATAGGCGACATTTTTTAACGTACACATATGTTTAATTATATATGTATATACATGTAACATATGCGATAAATTCGCGCGTGCGCGTGTAAACTTGGATAACTTTAAAAGGGGGAAGAGAGCAGTTCATCAGATTAATTGTTTATTATGTCAGTTAATAAGTATTTCGTTACAGATTGCATCTCCTTCTATCGATAGCTTCTCCACTTTGCCGGATCAAGAGATATCAGATTTTCAGACGGACTCGCGAGATCTGCAAGTGAAAGTGGACAATCCGCAAAAACATTTAGAAACCTTGGAGACGTATATTACATTCCGTATAACGACTAGAGTAAGTATAAACATATAATAAAGTATGATCTGAGTCGTACAATAATATTAATACATATTATAATCATATATATTATAGACTACGCGTCCAGAGTTTGAAGAAGGTGAATATATAGTTCGCAGACGCTACAATGATTTTATATGGCTGCGTCAAAAGTTAGTAGACAATTATCCGACACATATTATACCAGTAAGTTTTTATTCTTCTTTTGAGAATAAAAGATACACATACATATATAAAATTAAATTATTTAAGTTATGTATTAAGAAAATTAAAGATTGTTTACAAATTCTGATGCTTGTTACAGCCAATGCCAGGCAAGCATACGCTCCTCGCTCAATTGGATCGTTACTCCAAAGAGTTTATCATAGCACGCATGAGGCTTCTGCATATATTTTTAAACAGAGTGGTGAATCATCCAATTCTCAGCTGCGACAAGAATCTCCATATTTTTCTCACTACCAAGCCTGCAGTAAGTAATAGTCTTAATATACCAATGCATACTATATTACAAACCATAAATTATTATTGCTATATACAGGAATTTCTCATTTATCGTAAAAACCGTGGAAACGTACTCGGGAAAATGACCGATTCTTTGCAAAACATAGCAACTACATATACAATGAAACAGCATCATTTGGAATTTGAGCAGATTCGGGATTATTGTACAGCATTGAGCGAAAAACTGTCGGCCATAGATAAAATTAACCATCGCATATACAAAGAAAGGCAAGGTATGTAAACTGAAACTGTTTCTAAATATAATCTCATTGTTATTTTAATAAATCTAGCCCTTAGCAATTTTTTTTCATGTTATACATTATAATGCGATAGATTATTTATTGGAGCTTCATCAGTTACATCCCATATTCACACTGTGGACAACCTCAGAACCGGAACTCGCGAGTATTTTATTAGCGATTGCCAAAGCAGTAGAAACGAACGCGATAGCTCATCAGAAACTCTTGGAAAATGTCCCTAACGATGAACGCGAATACATCTCGTATATAGAGGCGGTTAAAAATGCATTATCTCGACGTGACTCGATGCAGATTGAATACGAGATAACCGTTGATGTATTAGCAAAGAAGAGATTAGAAAAGGATCAGGTACTAATCTTGTATATATATATTCTTTTTTAATCTTTGAAATTTTTTAAAATCAAGACAATTGTATTTTATTCGTGTAGCTGATAGGAAATACAAACTACACAATACCTGCACAAGGCTGGGGTGGATCTTTATGGAAAGCAGAATCTCGTGATGAAAAATTAGAGAGACTCGGTCAAACCATTCCGCGATTAGCTAAACAAGTGGAGATATTGCAAGATCGCGTGGAATGCGCAAACGAAAATCTGCGAAGCGATCTACAGAGATGGAACGTAGAGAAGCAACAGGATTTAAAGAATATGCTAATCGCGATGGCGGATCGACATATCAGACACTATCAACAGTGCATGAATGCGTGGGAAGAAATTCTCACCGGCCTTAAATTGGACGGAATTGGATCTGACGTTAATGTAGGTCCACCTGTTAAGATACCTGTTTAAATTGCTAGTCTTTCTTCGCCACTCTAAAAAAACATAGAATAAATATTAGTTATACACACAAAGGTAATAATACACCAATTTAAGAATCTCTATTATTACATAATGACACAAAGTTTATTGCAAATCCAAAGAACAATCTATCGTTAGCTTCGATATCATTGCTTCTAAAATCGAATCATTTCTTCGGAATCTCGAGATTACCATACAGTAATTGTAATTATTTAATAATTGCGGAATTGCAATGAACGCGTTTGATGATAATAAAAATCGCGCATTTATGTATATGTACATATAATACGCTAATATCAAAACTCTATTTGGAAAACTCGCCTTTATGATACAATAATCTTGTGATAATGTGAAAAATTAAGTATATAACGCGTTTGGTCCTACATACTAAGGGAGCAAGTTCTTTCAGTATATATCATGTACAGGAAAGATTTTTCAATGTTTCCTCTTTTTTTAGAGGTTTAGATCACGAATTATAATTTTGGGGACCAAGCATTGAGCCGGTATTATCGCCATTGGTGTTTCTTTCTCTTTCCTACTTTGAATCACATTATAATATATTTATTGACAATCAGTTTAGCCACCTATATCTACTACTTACCAAAGTACAGTTACCATGATAGCGTAGAGATAGTCAATGTCAGAGTATACTACAGCGCTGATAAATTTTATAAATCGCGGAGCAAAATGCTTGCAATAATTTCGTTGTATTATTAATTAGTACCTTTAGTCTAAGATATTTCTAAGTTATGAACAAATCACGTCGCACTTAGTCGTCACGCTCTTGGCATCACGGAAAAGAAATATAATGAGAATTCTATATATATGGCGCTTATATATTCCTCTTCTTGTATCTATTATTTATGCTCAAAAAGAAGGTACTCTTTGTTATTTGTCATAAGTAAAACGCAGAATACATTCCTATTTACATTATATGCCGCGGCTAGGCGCAAATCGGCAAAAATGATGAAATTTGTATCAATGAATAAATTATTGTTTGCAATGAAGTGCGAAGTGGCTTCTGTGTTTTCTTCACTCTATTAAGGCGTCGTCCGTTTTATTCTATTTCTGGTGTTAGATAAAACTGCACCAAATTGTCCAGATCGATAAGCTTGGTAATAGAGTCACCTGTAATTGATTCTATGTACATGAGAAATGTCTCTAAAAATGAATAAATTTCTACAACGGAAATACTGACCTGCTAAACTCATTTCGTTGTGCAGAAAACGTACGGTATGCGCATACGGTTGTTGAATCTTTTCACGTAACTGCGTAGCCAAACGACGCGTCGGATTCCACAACTGGCTACGAAAATTTGGTACATTTGTAAGCGTCGGCTTCCAAGATTCCGGTTTGACCTCCTCCATCGGCAATACGTCTGTTATTCTGTACTGACTTGTCTCGATATTCCATGTAAACTTACATCCAACTTCGTATTGCTTTCTCTCTTGCGTACTGTTGAAAATGTATTAATTTATCAAGATCATAATTTTAATGATATTTTAGAACAACGTAATATGTGTGACAATTCATATAGGATAATACAATACAAAAGAATCATGATTAATATTCATAGAATGGAAGAATAGTATGTGTGCTTACCATTGCGTTTGGCTGCATAACTCACTTGCCTGGATTTTCATTATGTGTAAACATATAATGTCTCCAGTGAGCGCACATACATCGATCATTTCGATGTCATAGTCACTGCAATGCCAATACTTTTTCTTAAATCTCGTGCAAATCCAGTCTGCTATGTGATGAGAAAAAGTCTCGATATCGAAACTCAATTGAGTTATAGAGACACACGGCACTATCTGAAAGTATTGTTACATATATATATATATATATATATATATATATATATATATTTATATATATTTTTATATTTATATATATTTAATTTATAATTATTCTAGAATTCCCGATTTTTTCTAAAATATTTAAAGAATGAAGAATATTAAAAGATTTGAATATGTATTTCAAGATAATAAATACCAATTTTTCCGCTTTACTATTGCTGATCATCTGCATTTGAACATATCCAGAACCATGCACAAGCATTGGAAGTACACATTGATAACTTACATATCCTCCTGTTTCTTCATCTGTATATAAGCATCATATATTGATGTACAATATTAATATTTTACAGTTGAAACTAATTTATAAACAGAGTTCCAAAAGAGTAAACTTGTATAAAAAAATTTGAATACCTTCCACATCTGTAATTACTGATATCATCTCGTCGTCGAGCTCTATATAGCTACGTTTGAAACGCGCGGTGCATTTTATCGAAGGATACTGCAAATTATTTTTAGGAACCAAAGGTGAGAAACTCTGACAACACTTGCCGACGCGATCTCTATCACGTACAGTTCCGTTAGACAATTGGTTCTGATTCAATGGTCGAAGCACATTTTTCTCAGCTAGTAAAGATACACAAATTTATTACATCTTTCTTTTTTTAATAATAATCGAGGATTTTACCTGATTCGGGATTCGACAAATCATTGGCTATATCTTGAGCAAGATTCAACTCATCTGATTCGCTTTGATCTGAATCGAACCAGTGCCTTCGTCCGTTCGGTAGTACCGCTGGCGATATTGCCGGTGAGGAGGATATTAAATGTATGGAACAGGCGCCACGATGCCTGAATTGATCGCGTATATTCTTGAAAGGAACTATATTCTCTGCATCTTCCGTCTCATCACAAAACTCATATTTCTTGTCAGCGAGTCGGCGTTTCCTGAACGAACTGAGCTTCTCGCAGGTTGTTTCTTGCGTCTCATCAGTAAATTCGTACGCCTTCTCCGCTTCGAGAATGAGCTTATGGGTCGCTCTTGTTGTTCTCGTTGATTGGCTCGGGTTTACGACAGGCGGAGGCGAGTGCAAATTCGATCTCTTGCGCGAGCTCGGACGAAAAGATCTGGTTGCGATGGGCGGCGACATCAAGCGGGACGAATAGGAGGACGATGGGCTACTACTGATCGAAACAGACTGCAATGGCGAGTTTATGGAAGCCACGGAATTGTCCGAAGCACTTGTGGATTGCGACGAACTAGAACTCGATTGTTGGCTGCTACTATTAGTCCGTTGGACTTGGGTTCTGTGACTAGATTCCGAATTGCGAGTGCGCAGAATATCTGACGGTGGAGTGAGTATTGGCAACGACCATGCCGCTGTCGTAGTCTTGAGATCAGTGGGCAGCCTCTGCGGCGTCGAACGCGGCGAACACGACGGATGTTTCACCAGCGTAATCAGATCGCTGCCGATATTGAGTTCCTGCGACGTGTCCTCGCAAAAATCTTGCAGGATCTTGTCTCGAACCGAGATGGCTGTCTGTTCAATGCCACCCGGTCGCTGCGAAGCGGGACTATTGCTGCTATTATTTCGGCACTTGCATTGCTCGATCATTTCCGAGCATTCGCATAACTTAACATTTAAAGCATCGGCAGCGGTAGACTTACTATTTATATCACAGATACTGTCGCTTTGATTGCTGCTTGAGATTTTTAACGGTAAATCGCGTCCCAATCTCGTTTCTAACTTAATTGCTTCATCTAAAAAGTCGTGTTCTAGACTGGATTCGCATTTCGGAGATCGATCAAGAGGGCATTCGGGCGTGCCCAGCTTTTCGTCTGAACTTTCGTATCGCTCTGTCCTCGTCGAGTAATCCGTTTCCTCGACGTCACTCATATCTAGCGGAATTGTATCCGGAACTATAGAATCAGAGGCATTCGGTTTATCAGATGTCCTCTGATTTTTCGACTTGGGTATATTCAAATCTACTCTGAGAACGTGTAGGAAGTTTCCTGTGTTGACCACCACATGATTCCAATAATTCAAACATACTTTAGCTCGAAATTTCGGATACGGCGAGATGACTTCGTATGTTGTATGAACCGTGAGACCATGTTGCAAGCAGTTACATCGCACGCAACAGTCCCAATTCGCAGCTAATTCTGCATGATAATATTAAGAATATTAATTAATAATACATAAATACACATGCCATTTGTGCACACACATCTAAAGATCTTTTCTTTCTATACAAAAATTTTAAATTATGCATTACCTTCACCCTCTTCCTCGTACGACGCAGCGACTTTTAGACAATCTTTGCAGTTCTCCAGAGACGGTACCGTTGTTATAGTTAAATATGCTCTATCAGTCGATTGTAAATGTAAAAAATTTGTACTGTAATAAAATAAAATATATAAGATATAAGATTATTGAATTTCTCTAAAGATTTATCTCTTAATTCTATATATAATTTAAAACTTACCAGAGGCCATGTATTACAAGCTTATTTCGCTCCATTGGCCATTGTGATATAACTATGCTTAATTCCCTATAAATTGGATAATTGCCAAACAATGTAACTTCAGCAACTTTGCGAGCGACATGGTTTGGTGTGAAGGCCCACCAGTGTAATAGATATTTAAATAAAGACGTATTACTGCTGAGCTCCATCATGTATGTATATGTGAGCAGAAATTGACCACACTGAGTCAATCCCATAACAATGTGCCTTGCAAAACAAAATTTTATTACTATTACATATTGTTTACTTAAATTAGAAGCTGAATTATTGAGACATTTCTTTGTTAACTAGTTAAAATTTGACGATCAGATATATGCTCAAAGATTTGCTACATTAATGTAGCCTTTGTTTCTCAATTTTTATTAAACAGAGAGTTCAAGCTCAAGAGAGAAATAGCTAAGAAACTGATTAAATAAATCTATTTAATAAATCATTATTATCAATATATACCCTGCTTCGAGAGCCGATTTTGGGATTATATGTAAGAGAGACAAATGTCGCCATTTAGGTACAGTTGTAAACAGTCTTTCCTCTGACGCATAATTGTGCGCCGATAGACATCCTCTCATCTGCAAACAAAAATAATTTAAGCCCACAATGTTTAATAGTCATTTATATGAATTAACGCACACTGGTGATATTTTGTAGGAAGAAAACAAATTTATTAGAATATTCATATACAATGTCGACGATTCTCTTGAAGGAAAAAAATTATACATCTAAGAAAGAGTAGGGTATCTTCTAAATGCAGGCTGACAGCTGACTCTGAGCAAAATAAACTAAACAGCGGAATAATTTCTCGCTTCTAGTCGAGTTGTAAGTTTTATAGATAAGGTAATTCGTCTTCTGTGACAGCTCGAAATGAGCCTGTCAGTCATGATGCGGACTCACGATCGGGCTCGAGGATTAAGGCCGGCTTACCTCCCTTATCAGCAGTTTCTGCAGAAAATTCTTCTTGCTACGTCGATGAGACGGACACGGCTTGCGTCCCACCACGACGAATTCCGATCTTTCCGACGTAATGTCAGAGAAAGACTCATTGCAACAGTCTGAGGTAGTGTCGGAAGACGACGCGTCCGCCATTTTTAAATAATCTCGCTCGTGGCGTCACGACTCGTGTCGCGGCGTGGAACACGACTCGCCTCGGTAGGGATGAAAGGGATCATCGTGTAGGAGTCAGCTTCTCTTTTTTTTCTTTTTCGAGTGACAAGTGATACACACACACACACACATATAAACACACAGCCTGCAGCCTGCATCAGCCGATCAGTCGCACACGTGTGGACTCTCGTGACAAGCGACACGGCTCACGTTGTGATTGTGACAATCACTGACGATACACATCAACTGCGAATATCGTATTATGTATATTATGTATATGATGAGTAGCACCTAAGGGATAATCGAGAGATTTTGCATTAAAAAAGTATTCCAACACATATTCTAAAACATATTCTACGCAAATATAATTTATTAGAAATAAAATGGATATTACATTGGATGATAAACTGAATGCACTGCAACAAATAAGCCAGCGGAAGCTTGTAGATATACTGGATGCTATTCCAGGCACAAAGGATCTGATAATAGAGCAGAAATTGATGAAAATACTGGACAGTTTTGTAGGAGTGACTGTATTAAAGTATAAATGTTTTTCCAAATTCTATATGTACTAACAAATTATTCTATTATTAAAGATTGTATAATCTTACTTAGGCGATACGGAGTGGACAAGATTTATAAAATGGAAGAAGGATTAAAACTATCAAACAGCCAACGTATATTTTTAGTATCTAATGATTTAATTGCATGCAAGAGGGTTCTGGATCAAATACAATCCGAAATATCTCATATTACTAAGCCTCATGTCGAAGTGTGCCATCATTTATTGGTCGTGCCATTTGTTCCAGCTGTATTACATAATTTAGTTGAAGAGGAAGGTCAGCAAATTATTATTGTTATTATTATATTATCCATTCTATTTATCTCAACTATTATGTCAAATCATTTTCATTTAGGTTTGGCTGAGCTAGTTACACTACAGACACTATCTACAGAGTTTATAAAATTAGATGGAAATGTTTTATCCTTAGAAAATCCATTGTTCATTGATCTTTACTATCACAAAGATACCAGTCTTCTGCGAGCATTGGCACGCAATTTATGGTCATTGCAGTTGATACTTGGTTCACCAAAGCTTTCATTTTTTGTTGGCAAGCATAGCCAACAAGTGGGCAAACTGATGGAATCCATGGAACATTGGGGTTCGTCCAGCTTAGAGAACGAAGTCGGCGCTCTAATTGTGATGGACAGAAGTTTTGATTTGACGACGACTCTGTTGACACCTATAACATATTCGGGTTTATTGAACGAAGTTATAGAGGTGAATGTTAACACAGCAGTGCTGGGAAAATCACAAGTTAAACTGGATCCTGATAGAGATCAAATCTATGGACAAGTAAGAGATACACCCTGTAGTGACGTTTTCCCGATTTTACACGGAAAGGCTAAGTCATTAAAATGTATTCCATCTTTATCCCGAGTCATTATACTAATTGATATCTCGCTAATAATATTTCAATATTGGCTAATATATTAGCTGAACAGGAAGCCATACAAACGATGAAATTGGCCGAAATGGAGAGGTATGTTTCAACAAGATTGCAAAAGACCAAAGATATGACGCAACAATTGACGTTTCACATATCCGCGTGCCAGACTATCATGGATACTTTGGGCTCCGAGTTTCAAGCCTTGCAAACGATCGAGAAATTGATGCTCGACTGCAAGGACAGAAAAGAATGTTTGAGTTATATAGAAAGGAATATAGGTACACATATATATATTTTTTCACTTTTAAAATTAATAAAATTTGTAATCAAGTTATAATCATATTAGTTATAATCAACATTATAATTTAATTACAATCAAAGTATACGAAATATCTGTCTTGCAGATGAGCATGCGTTACGATGTTTGCGTCTTCTATGTCTGCTGTCCATCACTACCGACGGTGTTACACAGAGCGAACTTCAAAATATCCAAAAACTACATCTCCATACTCACGGTTATCAACATATCCCATTATTTTACAAATTGCACACCGTTGGTTTATTAAAATATAGAAATGAGAATATTTTACATAAATTACCAAATTGGAATAGCGAGTGGAGCAGCAGTGCACAGAAATTAAAAATGTTACCCAATTACTCTAAACGATATGATCAGAACAGTCGTACTTGTCCTAGTTATGTGTTCAACAATGCTTATATACCCGCCATAGTTCGTATTTGTATAATTTTCTTTCTAGAAATAATAATATTATTTAATTTTGCAATAATGAGATGATTAATTGTAGGCACAAATATTAAACATTATATCGAATCAAGAAAAGGATCCTCGCAGCTTCGAAGACTTGATGAATTTATCGGATTGCGTCGTAAGTGGCCAACGGGGCGCGTTATCGCCAAAGATGGTCGTGATTTGCGTAATTGGAGGCATTACATGCGCAGAAATAGCGGCCTGTCGACTCATTGAGAAATCTACGGGGATACGTCTCATCCTTACGTCTGATACTATTTTAACGGGTAATAAACTGATCCAGAGAATACAAGAAATATGAAAACTCTTGTTACGTTCATCAGGAATGTAAAAAATGTTGCATCTATCCTTTTGTATAAATGGATAAGAGATTACAAGAGTATTTTATATATATAAACAACGAAAAGAGTAAACGCGAATGAATGAGCTTGCAATGTATCAACACGAATTGTGTATATAATTCTTATCGATATATTATTTATATATGAGTGCTTAAACGTTACAATGATTACGTTTAAACGCTCGAATAAATGTCAAAATTTAATATTATTTCATTTATTATCTTACTTAATAATTCCTATTCTCTTCTCGATTACGATCGCGCTCGCGATCACGTCTCTGCCGACCCCAATCCTGTCCTTGGCGATTATAATTTTGACGATCGCGGAAATTGCCTTGATTTCCTCTCGAGAAAAAGTTGCCTGCAAGTGTTTATTATATAAAAATCAATTGTGATTAATTTTTGATTATAGCTTTTTGATAAAAGCTACATATTTTATGTGTAAGTATTTTATGTGTATTATAATAAATAAAGTATACGAAAATATATAATGATGAAAAAATATATGATTTCTTAAAAAAATTATGTACTTCGTGTTTACCTTGTTTCATTTCAAAAATACGTTCATTCGAATCGACAAAGTTGTTTACTTTGTCAGTGAGTTGTAGAGCTAAAGATTGAAGGCGGCTCGGTTCGCTGCGATGCATAACAACAGTTCCTGTCGGATCATCCAAGGATGCCTAAATTTACGAAAAGAAAAAATGCCATATAAATTTTATAAAAAAAATCTATATTATATCTTATTCAATTTAAATATTAAAATGATGTGTATTTGCGCAATACCATAAGCTCTTCATTAATAATCATTTTGCTGATAATGGAGTGGACCACAGGTCGTTTTAACTGAAACATGTCTGCAAGTTTTGGCATCGAGATCGAATCATAAACATGCGAATATGTAAACAGATAAGTCCTCAACGCTTCTTCCTTGATCAATCGCGTCAGCATAGCTCGTACTTTCTCTGCTTGATGAAAAAGATCCCAGACCTGATATCAATGAAAATAATTATCAATCGTGTATGAGAATATATTAATATATATTATTATTCTCGATTTTTCAAATTTGAAAGGAATATATAATAGTTAGTATGTATAAACTTTTATATACCATTTACCTTTGCATTCATCTTTTCATTTATAATGTAATTATTGCAAGCAGACCAATTTCCATTACGCATTGCTTTTGCAGCAGCAACAACATGTTCCCTCATAGATTCCGGTGGTCCCACTAGCGATTGACGTTCGCTAGATCTTAATTGCTGATAGAACGTCTTCGAAATCATTCTTCGCCTCGCATCAAATTCATGCGCTAGAATTAAATAATTTGTCACATTTAATTTATTGCTTTAAAAATATATAATTGTTGAGTGATAAATATTGAATATATTTTATATATAGAAATTAATATTAAACACGTATGGAATATATATATTTACCAGCCATATACGGAATCTCGATAAGCATTGCTGAGACGAGGTATACGCATTCGAGGAGTTCTAGATTTATATGCATGTGAAAAGGCATTTGCCTTTGCTTTTCAATTTTCTCCTGTTCCTTACTGCGTTCGTGTTGTCGTTGCGGAAGTAGACCTTGCGCCAAAAGTTCCTTTACTTTACCAGTCACCATTAAATCAACCAAACAGTTGTGGGCATCTTTAATATTCGCATGACGAAATGCACATAATCCTAAATGAGCTATTGTACGGTTGTATAAAATCTAAAAAATAATATAAAATAAATATTTTATTACAAATTTTTTTTAATAACACACAATGATAAAAGTGCATGTATATAAATTTAAAAACCTGTGTAGCTGGATCAGAATGTTGAATAGTTTCCTGGAGATGCGACATCAGAATTAAATCTCGAGCTTGGAACCAATTATCGTGAAGTGCATGGTGATAAATGTGCGAAAGAATCGCGCGAGTTCTTAATCGATCGGTGTTATCATGAGCATAAACGTATTTGCATAATTTTTCCATGACTTGTACAGATGTAATTGTTTCTGATCCCAGTTCGTTCTAGTACAAAAAATAATTTTGTTAGTATATCAAACAAAAAAATTTTTGTATCTACAAATATTTTATACAACCTACTTCTTTTTGCTTAAGAACATTTGAATCAAATTTATAATATAAATGTTCAATTTTACGCAAATAGACGCGGCAAAGTTCAGACACAATTCCTTGCCTTTCTAAATATTCCTGCACCTTATCTATTATAGCAGCAACTTGCTTTTCATCTTTTAATCTGAGAAAAGAAGATATTTTATTTAAAAAATAACACAAATCACATAAAATTATTTAATTCTTTGAAAAATATTACCTCTCCACATATTCATTACTATGTGGGTCACATTCTTTCAATAATTTAGTAAATTCCTCATCAAGACGCTCCACCAATGTCAATACACAGCCATGCATTTTAAATGGCGGTGTTTCGAAATCTTCCGTTTCTTCTACAATTGTTTCTGCTATTATCATATCTGTACTGTTTAACAACATATCCAACATTTCGTTAATTCGTTCCAGTATTCTGTAAAAAAAATATTGTATGAAAAATATTCTTTAAAAAATACTAGCTAGTATTTCATACACATTTTTTCTCATTTTATATTTTAAAAGATTAATTTAAATTTATATTATATATATTTTTGCAGAAGTACATACTTGGACCAATATTCTGGCTTCATAGCATCAGAAACCTTTGGATTATAATCGAATATAGAAGACACAATAGAAAATTTAATCTTCACAGCTACAGCTGGACCAAGATTATGTGCATCAGCAATCGATTGCAACTCGTGCAAGAGTTCTATTTGTTCCCGTCTATCCGTACGCTTTTTACCGCGAGCTGCAATTATCTCAGAAAGTTTCTTCAACACCGCGTTGGTATTAATTTCTGCATCCTTGGCGAACATCTTTGGCTTTTCAGAGGGGATAGCCACGCCACCTTTAACAGTTTCCCACTCTCCTTCACCATCATCTTCATCGCGTTTCTTCTTCGTTCGTTCCTTCTCTTTACGCTCTTTACGTTGTTCCTTTCTCTTTGCTTTATCCTCATCATCTTCTTGGGCTGAAGCTCTATGTACAAAAATGTACATTGTATTATATAACATATTTATATTGTTGAATTTATTCTTTTATATTATTTTTCATTAAGCTTTATTAAGAAAATATACTTTTTAATGAAACGTTCACGAATATTTTGATATTGGCCTTCGTCATCACTGCTTGTACTCTCACTGTCTGAATCACTGCCCCAATCAGATTCACTTTCACTACCGTCTTCGCCATCAGTTGCAGTCTTCTGTAATGCAACATGTGTGCAATAAGTTTATAAAGAATTATATATTATTTGAAACAGCTTATCAGAATAAATTGTATTATAAAAACCTTAAACTTAGCCACATCTGGTTCACTAGCTTCTGAGCCTGCTTTCTTAAAAGCTACAGCACTGTCCTCTTCTTCTTCAGATTCCATAATCTCCTCAGCTAAATAGAATTTCTTTATATTAAAAATCTAAATTTTTTAAATAAACATTTATAAGAAATATATATTTCATAGTTAAACCTCTCTCTTCTTCTTCATCGTCATCCTGATCAGGATTCTCCCTAAATTTGACTATATCTTCTTCAAAATCTTTGTTATATTTACGTAGCTTTTGACGTAATGTCGAAAGTGATTTGGAATTATTCTTGGACATATTCTTACGTCCATCACGATCTTCCCATACGTCATTAATGAAATCTTCCATTTCTACTAAACATCTAACATAAAATCGTGGAGTTTGTCCAAGTTCTTCTTTTGCAATTACTGGTAAAGCTTTTTGATAAGCTCGCATCAAATCCTCAAAACCTAAAATAAGCATTTACAAAGAAAGAATCTTTTTATTACATTTCTATATATAACAAGCTATAAATAATGATTCAATAGTTACTAATGTTTAATACTCTATTGCATAATCAACAATAGGTTTACAAAACTGAAGTTACTTACTCGTTAACATACTGCTCATATCTTTAATTTTCTTATAATTCCTAATAAGTTTTATAAGATTAGCAATTTCTTCATATCTCTTTTCTTTTGTAGAGCGCACAACACGCTTTGTTTCCTCCTCATCATCACTAAACTATAAAAATATCTCATGTTATCTTAATAGCAATAAAATTGTGTAAAAGATTTAGAAATAAAAAATATAACAATGTATTTAAAAAAATTTACTGCAATTTTATAACACGTACAGTAAAAGCTGCTGCTGGCGCTCTTGGCAGCTGTTCCTCCTCAGATGCGCTATCAGACTCAGAATCTGAACCAGTTGCGAAGAAACGACTCATGATGGCAAATTCTCTATAATAATCAAAATAATATAAAAAAGGCGATACATATTTATTAATTATATTTTAAAGCTATAACTTTTTGCATGACAAAATTTAATAATGCATTAGAAGATTCAACTGTGCCAAATCAGAAATTTAAAACAAATATCATAATTTCAACAAGTATATTGCGTAATATACAAATACGATTTAACAATCTCAAAGAATCACAGAAATCACATATGGGGAGTGATACATTCACTGTGTCTTATTTTGACACATGGCGTAATATATTTTTAATAAGAGAATCATAAGCCTTTTACTTTAAAAGGTGTACACGAAATAAATGCGAGTGATAAAGTGCGCGATTTCCAAACGTATTTTAAATTACAAAATTACCAATATTCTCTTGACAAAAGCAGGCGCGTCGCCGACAGTCGCGAAAAGAGAGAGGTTAGGATTAGAAAGCTCACGGCATGAAAGGCGAATTCGCAAACGCATTAAAGCCGCGTTTCTAATTGGCTTGCCATTTTAATGACTCATGAGATATGATAAAAAAGCCGCATTCAGCTTGTTTGATCACAGCCAATTATATCGACCTATAATCAGGAACCATTGACCAATCAGAGAGTTCTATTTTAAATAGGCCAATTGGCGACGCGGTTGATCGGGTGCCACCCTATTCAGCAGACTCAACAGTTGGGCAATATTACTAGATTTTTCGGTATAATTCGACGCTGATTGGTCGGATCTGAAAGTAGAAACCAATCATGTTCGATTGCTCTTTAACGGTTGAATCCGCTGAATGTGGCCAATAGAGAATAATGTAGCAGAATAACGTTATTTATAACGACGACGAATATATACCATTTCATTTTAAATAACTTGAAATATATTAGAAACATTCAATTCATTTCATTGTTTTTTTTAACATTTAATTTTCTTTATTAAGATTTTTTAATGAAAGAAGAAAAAAAAAGGATATCTAGAAGATGAAACGAATGAGTTTATTCACTGTATAAAATAATTTGATTTGCTGAACGCATAAAATGATCATCCGATAATTGTGATCCGACACTTTAGCTACTTTTGTATGTACTGACTTTTGACAAACAGGTGATATGATATCAAAAAAGGAAAAACAGAGATAGAAAGAAAAAAATGTAGCAGGTAGGCCAGGTCGCACAAAACAAATATCAATAAAGGAAGAGAAAAAAGATACGAATTTATTTCATTAAGGAAAGCTTCAGTAAAGAGTTTGCTAGTATTTTGGAAGTTATTTATTAAAGCTTTTGAAATGGCTTTAAGTCCTGGAGATCCGAGCTCTTATGCAAGACCAGGTATTTTTTTCATTATTATCATTTTTTATTATTGATTTCTTTGTTATTATCAGTAAAACATTTAAAAATCGTTTTTTGTTAAAACAAGACAAAGTGCAAAAAGATTATCAGTCTTTAATGTATTAACATATTTAAACAAAAAAATCTCTTTAATAAATTTCTAAAATACACGTATTCCATAATTTTCTGTTAATAATTTATATTTCAAAATTTCTTTTTAAATAAAATTTAATTAAAATATAAAAATTAAATAAAATATAAGTATAATATAGTATAAAATTTAATTAAAATATAGCATGCATGTAAATTGATTTTTATTTGATAAAATTTATATATATATATATATATATATATATATGTATGTATGTATGTATATGTATATATGTATTAGATTTATAAGTTTATAATTATTACAGATCTTGCTGTTGTAACTCATACTCATTTAGAATTAACTGTTGATTTTGATCGGAAAGTTCTTGAAGGCAAAGTAATATTAGACATAGAAAGAACATCTTCAGCTAATGAAATAGTGAGTGAGAATTTGTTTCATGTTAAAAAGGAATGTTTCATGATATTAATGTATATCTAAAAATTAGATTTTAGATAATCGCAAGCTTGTTATATCAAATATCACAAATACTGTTGATGGATCTAGTTTAGAATATTCCATAGAAGCTGATGTTGAATTTGGAAGTAAATTGGTTGTTCAGTTACCACAGACTGTTAGAGATGATAATACTAAGTGAATAAGAAATGCTTTTAAGAAAAAAATAGATATTAAAAAAAAATTATCAATTCAAATATTTGATATATTTCTTTTCAGGTATAAGATTGAAATTATATATGAAACATCTCCAGATGCTACTTCATTACAATGGCTAACAGCTGAGCAAACTGCTGGTGGTATACATCCTTATCTGTTTTCTCAATGTCAGGTAAAAATAAATAAATATACTTTTTATAATATATCTTTTTTATATTTATATTAATGTATAGCATAAATATATTCATGTATCTTTTAGGCTATACATGCTAGATCCATGTTTCCTTGCCAGGATACACCATCTGTCAAATCTACATATTCTGCTAAGGTAGATATTTATACTTAGTTATACTTAATATATTTACACTTAGTTCGTATTCATTTATATAAGCACAAACAAATATATTGAGTATTGATAACTATATTAGTAAAGGAAACAAATATTGTTTTAATTAAACTGAAATAGAGAAATGTTGAATTTAAATTTCACATATTGATATGTATTTTATTTTTTAGATCTCTGTATCAAAAGAACTTACGGTTGTAATGTCAGCACTTTTGGATAAAGTATCAGAGAATTCAGACAAAAAAACATATGAATTCCATCAGCCAGTACCGATACCATCTTATTTAGTGGCTATTGCCATAGGTGCACTAGTGTCCAAACAAGTTGGTCCCAGAAGTAAAGTGTGGGCCGAAAAAGAATATATTGATCAAAGTGCTTATGAATTTGGAGAAACTGAAACAATGCTGCAATGTGCTGAACAATTATGTGGTCCTTATATTTGGGGTAAAAATAAGAATTGTTCATGATAAGAAAACTAGCGTCTACGAGCCACAGCGGATGGTAATGCCTAAAAATTCTTTTTAATTGTACACGAAATTTAAACGAAAACACGGCATATGCATATATTTTACTTGGTGCATTTAACCAAGATATAGATTCTCATTTTTGAGAAATTCTATAAAACCTATAAATTCTATATCTTGGTTAAATGCACCAAGCAAAATATATGCATATGCCGTGTTTTCGTTTAAATTTCGTGTACAATTAAAAAGAATTTTTAGGCATTACCATCCGCTGTGGCTCGTAGATGCTAGTTTTCTTATCATGTTATTTAATATATAACGAGCCTAATTCCTTTCGATTTAGTTTAAGAATTGTTCATTTTATTATATGCATAATAATTCTCTTATAAATTATATTTCAAGAAACATTTTTCTCTTAATCTAATTTTGCTACATTCCTGATATTTGTACAGGCATTTATGACATATTAGTATTACCACCGAGTTTCCCATTTGGCGGAATGGAAAATCCTTGTCTAACATTCGTGACACCGACTATACTTGCCGGGGATCGTTCTTTGGCCAATGTCATTGCTCACGAAATCTCACATAGCTGGACAGGAAATTTAGTTACAAATGCAAACTTTGAACATTTTTGGTTGAACGAAGGTTTTACTATGTTTATAGAAAGAAAGATTAATGCAAAAATGTTTAGTGAAAAAACAAGACATTTTGAAGCATTGCACGGTATTGAATGTTTAAGTGAAGAGGTATGTACTGAATATCAAAAATAATAAAGAGAAATAATTAAATAAATATAAGCAATAAAACATATTATTTGAGAATAATGTATCATGTGTTATTGCATTTTCACTGTTATCTTTTCTGAAGACATATTATTATTATTATTATTACAGATGAAAAATCTCGGTGAAACTAATCAATTAACGAACTTGGTGCCAAACTTGATCGGTATCGATCCTGATGACGCGTTTTCAATTGTGCCTTATGAAAAAGGACATACATTCCTGTTTTATCTAGAGCAGCTTTTAGGTGGACCAGAAGTATTCGAACCATTTCTAAAATCTTATTTAAATACATACAAGTATAAAAGTATAAAGACTGATATTTGGAAAGATTACTTGTATCAATATTTTTCGGAAGAAGTTAAGGTAATTTTCATTTTTTTATAAAAAAAAAATATATATAATTTACTTTCAATACTAATATTATGGATAATTTTTATCTCGAATTTTAGTTGTTAAATTCTGTCGATTGGGATACATGGCTCTATAAGCCAGGTATGCCACCAGTGATACCTGATTATGACAAAACTTTAACAAACGCATGTACCGAATTAGCGAAACGATGGATCCAATGGGATGAAAGTACTGTTTCACCTTTCACCAAATTGGATATAGAAAGTTTCTCTCCTGGCCAGAAAGTAACATTTTTAACCAATTTACATAAATCACCTGATGTTTTATCACTTGATAAGATACAGTTGATCACAGCCACTTATCAATTGGATTTAGTGAAGAATTCTGAAATACGGTATCATATTAATGTCTCTATGAATATTGATATTGTAATTACATAATGTAGCACATATGTATCTTTCACAGATTTGTTTGGTTGCGCTTGTGCATCAAAAGTCGATGGGAGCCAAAAGTTTCTGACGCTTTGGAATTTGCTACCGAACAAGGACGCATGAAATTTGTTCGTCCTATATTTCGAGATTTATACGAGTGGCAAGAAATGCGTCAGCGAGCAATCGATGTATACTTGGAAAAGAAAAATAAGATGATGTACGTGACTGCACACATGTTGGCAAAGGATCTTCACTTGAATGATTGAAACGAGATAAATATGATATTTTATAAAATAATATGCGATACTAATTTCCTATATAACTATAAGAATGCATCCCAATGTTCTTTTTTCTTAAAATGTAAATATGAAAATTGAAATAAAATATAACTTGCTTGTATGATATGATATTCAGTTAACTAGAACTAGATATATAAAATAAGTCGTAGCTAGACCCTCTCATAGTATTGTTTACATCAATGAGCGGAAATTTAGAAAAAAAGATACGTATTTATTTATTTAGATGAGATTTACTTCAGAGCACGTTCAGTATTCAACTTTAATTTTATTTTCTCTTATGATATATAAGTATAACATAATTACCTGCAAATGCTATCATTTTTGTGTGCTTACAGTGATACAGAATCAACATTACAAGTACTATATTTACAGATAACATCTGTATAATAAAAAAAGCACCAAAAATCTAATGATGAAAAAAGAATAAATATTGTATACCAGCATAAGTATCAACCAATTATTCCACCGCTCTGTTTCATTAGAGTTGCAATTTTCTTTTATATCATAAATATTATAAATAAAATAAAGATTTCTGTACGTTTCAAATAAATTTATATATTTTATGTATGTAATACTGCGCGCACATATTAAAAGGTGATAATATCGCAGTTATAATAAGATACAATCCTGGCAATGTAGTGATTTTTGGATCCTACTTAAAATAATTTAATTTGATTTATTTTTGAGAAATGCGCACAATACTTGAGAACAAATTATTTTTGTGCCATGTATTACCTGTGTAAAATTCCACACACAGTATCATATTGTCTGCGATATATGAAAAGCTTCATCGATAAAATATGATTGAGATATAAGAAAAGTAATATAGTACTTGTAATGAATAACGTTAATGTGGAATATATAAATATTTTATATTTTAATTTCATATGATCAAGATGAGATAAGACACTTATGATTACTTTAAAAATGTGTCCACAAATATCATGTAACTTCAATAGCTGCACATTCGTCAAATTAATCTTATTACGTTAAATGAATCACAGCAGCTTGTTTTAATTTAATCTAACCTAACCAATTATATTATATGCTCCTCATTAAAATGTGTAAAACTGTACGTCGCACATTTAATACGATTAATATACTACGTAATAAAATGTAATACACTAATGAAATAATTAAATATTATTTTTGAAAGCATGATAAAATCCAGGCAGCATACACTTGTGTTTACATCGACATCCAAAGCACTGAGAAGTTAGATTAGGTTAGGTTAGATCGAAAAAATTTATCGTTTAACAGTTGGCAGCCCTACGAGATAGGCTGTGCAGCATTGCGCGTATATAAAATAAATTTAAAATCGCTTCTAGCCTAACCATCTTCACGCGATCGACTTTATTTGAATTGCACGGCATTGCATCGAATTATGATGCTGCGCCGATTTGTTCGAACGTAATTCGGGACATCGCGATGCTGTATAAGCGTCGAATGAGCACGAATTGTCACGCAAATATGATAAATCACATCTACTCACCGTTCACCGGCTGTTCCACAGGCCGCTCCACTCGCTCGCCTCAGGACATCCCATTCCGATCTTGATGCACACAAACTCACACGATATCATCAACGCGAACGCGCGACACTTTATTCGGCACTCCCGATATTCGCTCGCATCCGATAATCATCATCAAGGGCGCAAATAACGCGACGCGACTTCGCTCCATCTTCGCGATCGCGCTATCACTGAATTGTCGAAAACAGCTGTCGCGCACTTTCACTGACATATTATGAAAGTCGCGCGATCATCCTTGGATACTTTAGACGCTCTTTCACTCGCGATATTCGTTTAAAAACGGTTAAAAGACGCGAAAAATGCGGACGTACGACGATCCGTGTAACTGCGTATGACTCCGAGTCACGTATGACGCGTATGACGTAGCTATGACGCGTATGACGTAGCAGTCACGCGCCAACATGGCGGCCGAACCACTGCGCATTCGTTTCTGCGCATGGCCATTCCTGCGCGCAACGTTCGCACAACTTTGATTTCTGAAATATTGTTTACGGCTTTAATTAATAGCACATAATGATAAATATAAAGATGGAATTAATTAATCATATTGGTCATATATGTAGATTTGCCTGAAGAAAGAGAGAAAAAATTGAGATATTTTTAATTTTTTTTTTAGTAAAAAATGGAAATGTCTATTCATAGGCTTGTTCTTCTTTTCCTCTTTTGTGCAATTTCGATTCAATATATAACGTAGAAAATTCATAGTATATTGCATTTATTTTTATATATTCACAACTATAATATTCGCGCGATCATTTTTTGACATTTACAATACTCGTGTACCTTGTTCTCGATGTTCATTTTTAAAGGAATAAAGAGAATTATATATAAATGTAAATAAATTGTCCGAAGAGAGAAAAAATTGAGGGATATTTTTAGTGTTTTTAGTAAAGGTTGAAAATGTCTATTCATGATAAAAATGCAAAGAAAGAAAATTATTATGTTTAAAATAATAATTTCATATGAAATACAAAATTAAAAGTTACATTATAGAACTTGACTTTCTAAAAGCGTAATAAAACAATCAAATAGTAGACAGAGAAAAGACTAATTGTAAAAGAAAAAAAGGTGTTAACTTAACTAAACCATTTAGCTAAATTATTATCTTTTTAATTGGAATATTTAACTACTATAAATCTAACATGACATTTATTTAACTTAAATATTTCGATATTTCAATTAAAAAAAAAAATAATTTAGTTAAACGGTTTAGTCGAGTTAACAACTTTTTTTCTCAGGTACGTGAGTGTGTGTGCGTGCGTGTGTGTGTGTGTGTGTGTGTGTGTGTGTGTGTGTGTGTGTGTGTGTGTGTGTGATTTTAAAAATATACTTGTATATAAATACAATTTTCACATACGTCACAGTACGCGTTAAATATTTCGGCAGCGAGCTAACACGTCATTCGACCTTGTGACGTCATTTGGCCTTGTGACGTAGCGCGCTATTGTTTACATACGCGACGACCTCCCCTCATTCGCACGGCGACATTCCAACGGAGAAAGTAGCGATACGGGCCGCTCCGTATTATCGAATTCTTTTCCTAAAGGTACGATCGCGATTAGATCGAAATATAATAATTCGACTATTACAAATGACAAATAATTAACTCTTATAATAAATGCAATTGTGGCGACGATAAATTCATCGAAACGCGATCTTTCATTATTACAAATAAAAATTGAAGCGATAGGGGCAAAAATTACAAATTTTCTTGCAATATTCTTCGATTATCGAACTTTACAAATAATAATTATTTCTTTAACATTGCATAGAATGAAATTCGATTTCGCCCGATGTTTTAAACTTTCCTAAACTGCATGCATATATATCATATTAATTAAACGATTGCTGTATCACCAATTTACATTACTTTAATATTTTAATCTTATGATTCGCGTTATTATGCATATATTATACATCAACAAATAGAAATAGTTAATTAGTGTAAGAATCGAGTGGTGCATGATTTTGGCTTCGTTTAAAAATCGAGCGAATTATTGTAATTTTTGTGTCCCTCTCTTATAATAATAATAAAATAATAATAATATTATAAAAATACTCGTATCTCGTATGATTATTTTGCGATCGGGAGTGCCGTGCAAAGTGTCTCGCGATCGTTTCTGTATATGACTGAAATATAATTAACTGAAATATAATTGTTTGTTCGCGAGTGAATACGTGACTGCTACGAGGAAACAACAAAGGATAAAACAACAAAAGAGAAGGACATCTGGAAAAGTATCGGACAGTCAGAAAGCAGGGAGAGAGCCTGAAACAGCCAGAGACATGCGGTGAGTAATTTATAAAAATTATTTATTATTTATTATTTATATACACTATTTTTAAAATAGATATATTGCTTATTATTTTATTATCGTTTTATTTTTCAATCATTTAAATATATAATTCGGATTAAAATGCAGTAAAACAATCGAATCGTAGATCTAAATAATTAACTTAACAAAAAGATCCATAAAAGATATATTAGTTCTTTTAATAAATAATATCGTATACTTAATCTATATAAAAATGAAATATTATCTATTTATTTCTAAATATTAAATACTATAAATTTAATAGTTATATATTTTGTAAAATTTAATTAAAAGAATCTTTAAAATATTCCAAAAAAAACGAAGAACTTTTCTCAACGTAGAAAAAGTTAATTATAAACAAATTTATATTTAATTATTATAATTAATTTATATTTAATTTTATTGGAATTTTATTATTAATTTTATTGCATTGTCAAACTCTACGTGATCTCTGTAATGATAGCTATTCACGAAATAGGTACAGTGAAATAATCAATTATTATCGAAAAGAGGCAATAATATACTTTTAAATCTAATTTAAACTTTTGATAAACGATATAAAATTTTTTTATTATGAGAAATCTTTATTAAAGATCATAATTGCAAATAAAAATGGAAATAACTTCATGAAGTATATTAATCGGTTAATAAATAATTAATCCGTGTGTACGTGTGTACGTGTGTGTGTGTGTGTGTGTGTGTGTGTGTGTGTGTGTGATTTTAAAGATGTGTGTTTAATAAATAATTAATCCGTGTGTACGTGTACGTGTGTGTGTGTGTGTGTGTGACTTTAAAGATATACTTGTACATAAATACACTTGTATATAACTTTAAAAATATTCCCGTTATGTTAATTATCCGATTTTTATTCGATCGTTTTATTGCGCGTTCTGAATCAAATTATATTTAGATCAAATGATATCAGAGAGAATATTTATTTATTATATTAGAATTCTAAATGTGTGTGTGTGTGTGTGTGTGTGTGTGTGTGTGTGTGTACACATATATATTAGGATAGAAACAAAATAGAAATAGAAAAGTAATCATTGCTTGTAAAGATTGCAACAAAATAATAATTTATAATTTTCTATCGTATAATCGAGTATCGTATTTCGAGAGCAATCAACTATTTATTAATAATAAAATTGTATATAACTTACGAATATATTCCACTTATTCCGGACGTTAATATCGCGACAACGACGAATAAACTTTTCAAAAAAGTTCAATTCAACTATTTCATGTATGAGACAGTTCTACCAATCACTGATACAAAAAACTCGTCAATTGACCAGTTGGTGAAACTGTTTCAGTCCTGAGTATTTTCTTAAAAGAGCTGTTGGCGCACATACATGCGTGTATTATGTTTACGCGTGTCACGCGTTCGAACAAACCTTAGCCGGTATTCATAGTCCGATCTTATATTTAAGATTGTCTTAAGTCTGGTCCGAGGTTGACTTATGACCTCATTCAACCAATCAAACAGCTGCGTAGCATTTCAAGCTCGAACTTAAGACGATCTCAAATATAAGATCGTACTATGAATACCGGCCTTTGTTAATCTAGTGACTTTATTCTTGTCTGATTTGAACATTGTTCATCTCATCTAGTTCAGATAAGAACCATAGCATGGACACGAACCATGTACCGTTATCAAACGATACAGTTCACGTCCACTTTCTCAGGCGGCACCTAAGGGACAATATGCCCGTTAAAGCGAGGTGGCCGCTCTTAGGTTTCTCTGCACATGTAGACACATACACAACCATGTTAAAGATGTCAAACCATTAAGAACGATGATTTTCATTTTGGCATTCAAAGCGGTGATAAGTACACTTGTGGACAATTATTTACCTAATGTATATGACGTTCTTTGAACTTTGAGCCTCATAGAATAGGAACTGAAGTGTCAAAGTGCTATTAACGAAAGGAGACATTTGCAATATTTTCTTCAGTTTTTAATATACAAATCTTATTTGTTAAACAACGCTTGTTCTAATTTTGTAACTATTGTCATAAACAAGTCTACAAATATTTCGCGTGTATCAATCCATATTTAATACGTGCTAACATATTGTAATACACAAAAAATGATTAACACAGGGTAAGTATAATCTTACAAACATGATAGGTACATAAATGTGTGAAAAACGTTCATCATTGTTACAATCATACGTGTGATCTACATTATTGAATTTTAATATTGCGCAATAATTATATATTTAAATGTGCAGTAGAGCTAAAGTAATTTTTATGATGTATGTAAATTTCTACAAAAAATGTAAGATATATGTTATCTTAAATATTTATAGAGTTATATATAGTCTTAAATACTTATATATTACTTACGTAATTGATGTTCTTCTCCCATTTTGTTAATTAAAAAAAAATTCATTGACTTTTGTATATAAAGCTTAATTATTTAAAAAATGAATTATTTTTGATTGATATGTAACATGATAAATGAAATATATTGGATTATAAAATAAAAAATTATAAAACTATAAAAAGTTATAAAAAGTTATAAAAAAATTATAAGATAAAGCTCTTGCATTTAAAATTTAAAGCCAGCAAAATTTTTTATTATATAGTATGTAATTTATATATCATTGATAAATAAAATTTAATTGTTATTTTCAATAAATATACTATATTCTATAGTAATATGTCCAATAAGTAAAAGAACAACATTAAATTTTGAAAATTGACCATTTTTTGATTAAAAGTTATAATTTATATTTTCCAAAATTCACTGTAGCTTTATTTCTTCAGTACCTAGGAATTTTAATTATTAAATATCTTAATGACTTGAATATGAAGATTCTATTAAAATTCTATTAAGATTCTATTAAGATTCGAAAATTAAGATTCTATTAAAATTGAATTGCAAATATATCCTAAATATTATTTGTGTGATTGTAGACTTGAGATTTATATCCTCAACAATATCATAAATCTTATATTGTTAAGAAAAATGATACTGATCTTTATTAATATATATTTGACACAGGAAGTTGGCTGGTCGCACTATTTTTATTACAGGAGCTTCGAGAGGTATTGGAAAAAGTATAGCATTGAAAGCAGCAAAAGACGGTGCAAATGTTGTTATTGCTGCAAAAACTGCCCAACCACATCCAAAACTACCGGGTACCATTTATACAGCAGCTAGCGAAAGTAATTATTGATTATTAATTATTCAATAGATTCAGATTTCTGATAAAAATCTTATTTTGTGGTGCCATTTAAATAATTTTATCAAGGTATATTTCTATATGCGAAGAAATATATATTTTTAAATTTTAACAAAAATTAATTCATTATTAGCATATAATAAAAAAATTATTTCTAATAAAGAAAAAAATGTCTTGTATTTTATTAATTACATTAGAGATGATAATCTTGATTTATTGCATATTATTAATAGTGAATTTTTCATTATGTATAATAAGTATTTAGTTAGAGAGTTTTCGAATTTAAAAAATGCTTTAAATTTTAATTATATAGTATTCCAAAAATTTTGTTACTGAGCATTTTTCTTATTTACAAAATATGTAAGAATGGGATATTTTGCGATTTTATATTTGACAATAAATGTCAGCTAGATATGCATTAGATAAAACAATTTTAAAGTTTAGAAATTTGTTATATATAATATATATTTTTCAGTTGAAGCAGCTGGTGGTAAAGCTTTACCTTGCATCGTGGATGTACGGGATGAAACCCAAGTGATTAGTGCAGTGGAAAGTGCTGTTGCAAAGTTTGGTGGTATAGATATTGTAGTGAACAATGCGAGCGCTATTTCTTTAACAGGCACTATTGGAACGGATATGAAAAGATATGATTTGATGAATAATATTAATGCTAGAGGAACTTTCCTTGTGTAGGTATCTTTTTATATCATAATCTTCTTGATATTCAAGCATATGTAAGATTATATATATATATACATACATATATATATATATATATATATATATATAACATTTTATTAAAATTATTAATATTTAATATTCATGTTGTAATAAAATTGTGTTCTAGATCAAAAGTCTGTATACCATATCTAAAGAAAAGCACAAATCCGCACATAGTTAATATAAGTCCACCATTAAATATGAAAGCAATTTGGTTTAAAAACCATGTTGCATATACAATGGCTAAATATGGAATGTCCATGTGTGTTCTTGGTATGGCAGAAGAATTTAAACCTGATGGTATTGCAGTTAATGCTGTTTGGCCAAAAACAGGTATGTTATTGATGTCATATTTTTATAAAAAATAATCATAGTATTCATTATTCAAAGTAATGTGTTAGTAATACCTCAAATGCAGAATATATAGCGATATTAAATTAATTAAAATATGATAAATTATTTTTATTAAACTTATTTGTTGCATAAAAAAATTTGAACTTAATATTATATAGAATTTATTTATATTATTTTATTTCCAGCTATATATACAGCTGCAATGGACATGTTATCAGGTTCGGATTCGAGAAATGTTTGCCGAAAACCTGATATTATAGCAGATGCTGTTTACACTTTGCTTTGTAGAGATAGTAAATCTATTACTGGGCAATTTATGATTGATGAAGACATATTGAGAAACGAGGGCATTGACGATTTTACACATTATGCATGTAATCCAGGTATTTTTATTTCTTTAATACTTTATAAATAACTAAAAAATTAGTATAGGTTATCACAATTCTCTATATAACAATTAATAAAATTCACATATTATTTTGCATTGTTACTTACATATTTTATTTTTTACATATAAAATCTTCATAAAGATATGTAAATATTGCTGAATATTATAAATTATTAAATGATTTTGAAATGCTTTTGTAATAAACATGTTTGTAATTTCTTTCTTTAGCAAACAAGGACAATTTAATGTTGGATTTCTTTTTGGATGATAACACTTTGGATTCTCAAGATAATTCTAACAAAACAAATAATAATGAAATAGGACAAGTTGAACGCATATTTATTGCAATTAATGCAAATTTGAGTAATGAATTAGTAAACAAAACTGGTGCAATATATCAATTTAATGTAAAAGGTAATTTTCCTTTTTGTTTCTTGATTCAAGTTTTTATAATATGATTACAAATATGAATATATACATCCTTTTTTGTTTCAGGAAAAGAAGCTGGTGTGTGGTTTCTGGATTTAAAAAATGGAAAAGGCGCTATTGGAAAAGGAGAACCAACTCAACCGGCAGATGCAACACTTACAATGGATTCAGAGAATTTCTTTGCCATGTTTTCAGGTACATATGAATTTCAATGCAATTTGTTTTATATGTGCATGTGTGTACATGTATAATTAATGTGTGTTATTGTTATGTGTGATATAGTTTAATATAATTAATATAATTTTTTTTAACTTGCTTTATCAACAGGTAAATTAAAGCCAACTGCAGCATTTATGACAGGCAAATTAAATATTAGTGGAAATCTGCAAAAAGCAATGAAATTGGAAAAATTAATGGGTAGTTTAAAATCTAAATTGTGAAACTAAAATTTAATATAATATTGTTGAAAAATGCCACATATTTTATATATTTTTATATATAATAATATAGAAAATGTTTATAAATTAAAAAAATATATATATACATTTTACATACGCACATCACATGTGCAATTTTTATCTTTCACAAAACTAAGAGAAACATATATTAATACAATTGCATTTTCGATTAATTATCTGTACTCAATTTTGGCATTAATATTTCTTTAACCAAAATTTAATTATAAATCTCATTTTTATTTTATAAGCTCAATTCTGAATATTGATGTTGAATTGAAGACTTGTTAGATAGTTTTATATGAAATTAAAAATAATAAAAATGAAGATTTAACTCTTAAGATATCAAGATTTGCTAAAAATATTAAGTATTCAAAATACTGCACTTAAATTGTAAAATAAAATGTACTGATATTTCAATATTTGTTTTTAAGAGATATTTATTCCAAATTGGAGTTAATAACATTGTTCAGATAAATGCATAAATTGTAAATGCAAATTGCTACAAATTAATACTTATTACATTAGTATCAGTATTTCTGACTGAATTGTTTATGATTGTTTCTATGAAACAGAGTATTTCTCTATTTCAAAAAAAATTTGTAATATATAACAAATACAAAAACAAGGTAAAAAAATATGTAGATATAAAAAAGAATAATATAACAATTGTATTTTTATAAATTATATTCAAATAAATGGGAGTTATATATATTATATTAATTAAATTATTGCACATATTGTTATAGGAATCTCAGAATAGGAAAAATAAATATTATATTTTGTATATTGGAAAGAGAATGAAAATTTATATATATATATATATATATATATATATATATATATATATTCATATATATATTTCACATATTTCATATGTTACATATTTTAAATAGCAATATTCCCTTTTGTGTAACTTTTTTGTAACATTATATAAACTTACGTAGTTATTTTAACATTGAAAATACTTTCTGTAAGTAAGCCTCTTGCCTTTTCATAAACTCCAAAGAATATAAAACCCCCCAATGTAATCCATGTTATTCTTGGTCCGAGACCGGCAAATAATCTATGATATTAAAGCATTTAATTCTTATTTCATAAAGATCTTATTTCATAAAGAGATTACCAAGAATATATCTATTAAGTAAGGAACATTTAAAATATTTGTCAATTTTTTATTATAGAGAAAAACAAAATCACTAATTGTAAATATTTACCCACGAAATCCGTTTTCTATATATGTTTCATGAAGTACATTTAGTATTGTCAGTTGTGATGAGAGCATGGTTTTGTTAGCAAGCATTATCCTCGTTTTTGCAACATCCAATGGAGTTGTAACAGTTGCAGAAATGCTTCCTAAGATACACAGATATATATACACATTAAATATACAAACAGGTCATTCTATTTATATGATAATTTATTATCCTATTCTATATATTTATAATATAAAATAAAAACCTGAAATTGCACCACAGATTGCACTTTCCATTGGATATATTTCTCTCTCAATATAAAAACTATAAAACTTCTTCAAATATTCCCATAATGGAAACTGTACTATACTAAAAGGTGTGTCTCGTAATACTGTACTCCAATATCCACGGTACAATAACTTAAGACCAAGTGATTCCTTATCATATATGAATGCTTGTTTTCTTTGTTTCATGACTTCCACTGGAACTCGTATTAAACATGCTACCTTTGAATATAAAATAATATGATTAATATACATAATTAATATGACATATATAAGTATTTTTTTTTACAAATAAATTAATTAAATACAAACAAAAAACATATAAAGTATATATTATATAATTAAACGATTATTTAGTATATTTTATTTAGTATATTTTATTTTAGTATTTAGTATATTTTAACTTTGAATATAAAATTGTATCTATATATTAAATTTTTTTTTCAATTTTTAATTAGTAAAGGAAATAATAATTATTAAAATAGCACCATTTCTCCTAATGTTGCTGCTCCCATATGGACTATTGTATAGTACTTTGCAGAAATCTTTGGTTGCATTATAGTTTTAATTTCTTCATATGTTAAAAAGAATAGCGCAGCTAAAATAAGAGAGAAAATATATTAAATATATATATATATATATATTTAATATATATATATATATATATATATTTATTTATTAAATTTATATATTTATTAAATTTTAAATCGGACAAACACCTGTTGGTGCTGAACCAACTATGACTGGATAAATTCCTCTATAAAGACCTGTGAAACCCCCAGCCTTTAAAAATCCTTGTACAGACTGCAATCGAGTTTTCAATGTATCTATTGGGAATAATGTAATATCCACAAATGTTCCCGCTGCACCTCCTGCCTAAATAAATAAGTATTATATAAATATATAAATATTTTATTTACTATTTTTATATTTGACATTTTCACAATCATTTTTATTATTATTTAATAGATATGTTCTTATGATCTAATCATTAAAAATATAAATATTAGTAAATCAATAGTTGAGTTATATAACAATTTTAATTAGTCCTATTTCTAATATATTTATTGTATTCATATATGAAAGAAAAATTTAAAATATTATTTGTGAATATTACATGTGTAATAAAAATACATTGTACAAATGCAATATTTTGCTTACAACAAGCGAAGTAACAAAAACATTCCGCACGTTCGTTCCTTCTTTTCTTCTTTCGATATTCGTCATTTTGTTCTTATGCTAATTATTCTTATCTGTAAAATATAACTTTTGCGTTGATTAATGTAATGTGGCTCCATTGATTATGCAAATTGTGTGAAGAAATTACTTTACTCTCGATGAAATGTAATCTACGTATATATATTTCGGGAATAAAAGAATATATAATGTTTTCTTCGTGATTATAATAAGAATTATAATTTCTTTTATAATCTTTTTTTTTAATCTCCAGTGTTCAAGTGAATTGCACGATATTATGGATTATCATGAGATTATTTCTTTTTTTTTACTGAGGTGGAGGATTTAACGTCATCAACCAATTTTGTCTTATTCGATTTTTTAGACACGTGAGATTATTTCTCATTATATCGAGGTTAGAAATCTATCAATCATATCTTTTTGGGTTATGTTTGGGCTACTCTTTGGGTTATGTTCGAAAATATATCCGTAGGAATAGAATAATGTTTGATTGTCCAATTAGAACAAAAAAAAGCAAAGATTTCTCTCTCTTGATAGGTCAATCAAGTGCTATTCTATCCGAGTAGATTTTCGAACGCAACTCTGCTGTGATTTTTCGCGCATGCGCGAATACAACGTGGTCAAACGGGACGTTCCCGCGAAAATATGCAGTTGTGGAAAATGTAAGCGCGAAAGTTTAGTGATGCGTGGTCCAAAATAACTTATAAACTTTTTGTGAATGTACAAAGTTATAAGAGAAATTTAAATCGTTAATTCGACTTCTGTCTGTAGGAACGAGATTGAGAGAAAGCTTAGCTCGAGTAAATAGGTGAGCTCCATAATCAATTGGAACATCTTTAATCCAAGTGTACATCGATATTGATACTGAACACGTGGATACAAGCAAGTTTGAGCTGGTTAAGTGAGTACGAGATTCTTACGATTCATACGTGAATTTCATTACATTCTACTCAACTTTGACGATCAACGAGAACAAAATCAAAATGCGAATTAGATTCAATCTAATAAGAATCTGATGAAAATCTAATGAGAAGTCGAAGAATTAAATTATCCATTCTTTTCTCATCGAACGTGTTTTTTCTAAGTGATTAAAACTGTATTATTAATTCTCAATTGTTGTTTTGAAAAAGAACAAATTTGTGAACAGATTGTCGTTTTTGAAATAGTTCTTTCTTTTCTTCATTCAAATGCTGACAGCGAACAAATATTTTCTATTATAATGATAAAAAAAATCGGAAAAACTATTTAATATCTATAGAATGAGATGTTTCTTTTAAATTTTTATATATTTTTTTTAAATACTTGTTTTTAGCAATTTTTCTTCCTTTTTAACAAATCTATTCTGACATTATATTTTTGCTAAATGAAATATTTTGAGTATCATCTCCATGTGTTTTATGTAAAGTAATTTAATGTGTTTTATTTCAACATTCTTTCCTTTTTTAATTTATCTTCTATTTTTTAATAAATCAATTAAATATAAACTATTATATTTTTTTTAATTATATTCATATATGTTAATAATATTTATAAAATTATATATGAGTATTAATAATACAATTTTTTAGATATTTTATTGATATTAAATTCTATTTCACACACATTTATCTGATTATAAATTCTCTTATTATACTTTTTCATAATATAAATTAGCTGAAATGAAAAATGTCCATTTATGACTTTCAAGAAACAATAAACAAATACAAATACAATAAATATTTTTATTATATTATATACACAATTTTATTATATTTTTGTTAAAATTTCTTGTTAATTAGTAAATTATATCTGAATGTGAATTGTTAAATGGATATCTGCAATTTTATATAAAGAAATAAAATCAATAGAGTGCAAAGTGGACATAATTCTAGTTTCTTCCGCCAATTTCTCATATATTAAGTAATAATTGAAGATTCTTAATATCTACACATATCGACTTAGCTTGCATCATAACATCGAAAACGAGAAAATTATTATGAATCACGCGCAATAATTCATGTAGATTGTGATGAAACAAATAAATTTTTTAGTTTAACAAAATAGGCTTATATGATAAAAATATTGCTATTCTCTATTTGTGTACAATATATTTATCATAAAAATATATAAAAATAATTGTGAAAATGATTCAAACCTCAATGTTATTGTTCTGTACATAATATGATTAGATAATTTAAATTTTACAAATCTGCTTTGTATAATGTATTAATAAAGATAGTTGCATGAATTTTAGTTGCAAAAATTCTGATATTTTCCTTTGCATTTTGCTCGCTTTTGCCATGTCAACATGTCTAATATAAGTATCAAAGAATTCTAAGATTATTTGCAGTGTTATAGTATATTTTTAGCCTTATATTATGAATGTCAACAACACACTTGTTATACCACATGTTAGCATTTTTCTCTTCATTACAGTATAAAAAAATTTATTATAGGAGAATTGAAAGTTGACTTATCTCCTTATTTTATCTAAGAACATAATATTAAAAATTAAGATTGTTAATCATAAACAATCTTTATGATCGCGATTAAAAAGATAATATCTTCTATAAAAGTTGTATAATATTTCTCATTTAATTCTTTCCATTTTTGTCTTCTTAATTAAAATATTTACGAATATTTCAATTGCAGATATATATATGTATATATATATACGTCCGTTTTTTTATCATAATTATACAATTATAACAAAAGATGGAAATAAACCATGTTATTCTTATTTATATGTTAAATATGTAAAATTCCGTTATATTTCGGAATCGATCTTAAAAGATAATTAATATTATGTGTAAATTATCATGCTGTTCTGTATAAAGTTACACTTGCAATATGTTGATTCGCCATAACTTCAACAATCGCATCTCGTATACCATAACAAAACGTACAACCAAAAGGATTGGTTGTATTTGTCGAAGATGCACGATTTAATACTACAGGACGCGCGCTCGCTTTCAATTGTTCACTCACTCTATCCCATTTTGTGTAGGCAGTGATCTAGAAACAAGATTAAGATTCATTTATTGATCGATAGCGTATATAAGTACATCTAATTGTAAAAAGAATTTTAAAAATATTATCTATATATATCTATAATTACCGTAACTGGAGAAGGAGAAACATCTATCAGTTTTCCCGATTCTGCGGAATTATTTTCAGGCGGCAGAGTCAAAGAGAATTCACAACGGTGATATATATTAAAGTTATAATGTCCTGGATAATTCGTGTGAAGCACAAACTTTTTTATACATTGAGTTTTTGCATTGAACAAGATATCCTGTAAGATATATTTGAAAAAAAATTTTATGTTACGTGTAGCGAAATTGATAAATCACAATTGTGTGTGTGTGTGTGTGTGTGTGTGTGTGTGTGTGTGTGTGTGAGTGAGAGAAAGAAAGAATCGATTAAATTCTAAGTCTAAAATTTAAGTAGTAATTATCTATATTTAAATAATAAAATGTCTATATTTATTTTTCGCGAGATTGAAAGAAAAATTAATAAAAAAAAAATAAACAGCATTTCATTACTTTTCATCGAGCAATAACTAGTCTTTAGTATTATCAATTTGTAATATTGTTTTGATTTAATTATAAAAAAATCATTTTATCGAAAAGGTATACTTACCAAACCTAACGTGAAATAATTGTAGAAAAAATCTGATCGTCTTATCTTGTCTCGTTTATGTGCGTGTGGACTGTGGATACGCATTTTATCCTCAGCTTTGTAGAATACCCTAGATGGGGCACCAAGTGCGCTTAAGACGTCTTCGCAAGTGTCTCCAAATAAAACCTAAAATCATAAATCATAGATTAAAATATATACATAATTATTTTTATTTTAATATTTTGTTGTGATAGAAATGATAATCAATTAAAGATGAATATTTCGTATGTCGAGAGAAAGATAAGCAAAAATTAAAAAAAATAATATTAAATTATGCTGACAAAAATAAAAAAATTTAGTGTAAAAATTAATTTTTTTATATATTATTATGCACATTTGATTAGTATACTGATAACCCTTTTGGAATAAGATAAGATTTTTCAGTTTGTGGATTAATAAATAAGTTTTGATCAGCTTTATTGTTGAAATCAAATGTAAAATACATGTAAATTATATATATTTATTAATCCAGGATTAAAAAAGAAAGTTTTCAATATAGTTTTCAATATAGTTTTACTAATCTATACTGTCAAATGTACAGGACAATATACATGAAATATTTATTTTTATGTATAGTATATAAAAATTATTTATATTTTATATTCGTGCGTCTAATAATTATAATTTAATTGTAATATGGAAACAATTAAAGTACTATATTATTTTATCTCCTACATAAAGAAAAATATATTAATAAAATATAAAACATTACCTCTTTGGTCAGACATCGTTTTTTCGGCTCCAGCAATGCTCTCGTCCCACAACTACCTTCAGTAAAAAGATGTAATCTAAGTCCTCGAGTTCGTGTTTTATCTCTAATAATGTCAGCTTTTTCCAAATATAAGTTATTGTGATAACAGACCTATTCAAAAACATATATTAAAGATACACCTTATCATTCGTTCGATAGTTTTGTTTTATTTTAAAAAATGATAAAGAGATAATCAAAGTCTAGCTATATAATTACAAGTGGCAAAGGTGGTGGTGGTGTTTTTGAACCATGTTCTTCGCCGCTACCACCCGCAGGCATATTCCCAACGTAAATCGCAGTTTTCGCGACCAAAGGAGAAGTGCCATTAGGAAATTGTAACGAACCTAATCCATGGGCATAACCAGGTTGAAATTTCGAATCGATTGGAAAATAAAATGACAGTCCTCGAAAATTCAATACAAACACCTGTAATCGTTATTATAATGAATAAGATTATAATGAATGTCATGTATATATAAATATTATCGAATGTGTATGTGTGATAAATCTATTCGTAATTTTCTATGACTGTATATTTGTATAATTAAATTTAAAAAAATAATGATTCTATACCTGTTTTTCGCTATCATAAACACCGGGATGAGTTGCACCGAAAGAATGTTCGATCTGTTCGATCGAAGGTAATACCTCGGGCGAATTAAATGGCAAGCCGCAATATTTCAATTTTACTAATTTCATGTTATAAATTTCAATTATCTTAAGTCTTTGTACAACGGGATCGAATATAAGCCGAATGCCATCGTGTGGTAAATTTATTACTAGATCTACATCTAATGGATTCTGCAAATATACATAATACTTAATAAATTTATATTATCTCATTATAATAGAGATAAAAAGAATATTATTCATGCATTCTAAAACTATAAAACATCCAATGCATAATTTATGTGTATTATGTACATATGTAAGTTTTATATATTAATAAAACATCGAATACTTACAGTATCACTATAAAGTACTTGTACTCCTCTTATAACACCAACTTGAGATTGTATTATTGATACCGACTGAGAAAAATGCATACCTGTAACATAAGTATATTTAAAACTTGGAATTTTAATTAATTGAAGATCTGCACATTTCTTATTGCATTCTTCATGTAACAAAAAATCTAGCATATAAATTTTATATGAGGTAATAATGTAAAAAGAAGTGAAAAAAAATTAAAGAAGCATGTAATACAATATCAAAAATGGACAAAAATATTTGCCATTAGGAAAAGTATTTATAAAAGTATAAGCGAAACAACTTTAATGAAAATACAGGCAATTTATTGTAACTTTAATAGTTGTTTTGTATATACAAATCATAATATATTGTGTGAGCATAGATTAATCTGAAATAATTATCTTATCTATAATTATAATCTTTTAGACTAATAATGTTAAGCACATACAAAAATTGCAATGAAATAAATAAATATGACACATCAATGCTTTGGTTCATACATTTGACTTATACATTTTTAATTGATTTCGAAAGAGAACATATTGTCAGTATTTTTACTATTCATTTTGCAGATTTATTGGCTTGCGACATTTCCTGTATATATTTACGCAATATGTTTATTCGTTTATTTGTATATATTCTCTGATGTAATAGAGTATCAAAATATGCCAAAAGAATTATATATATTTGAATACATATATGTATATTGCATATTAAAAAAAAAAGAAAAAAATAACTCTCATATTTTTGCTATCGTTCCTTGAAAATAATTAAATGTTTAATATTGAAAAAAAAATAGAAATAAAATGGAAATAAAAATAGAACATAGACACGAAGTCTGAACGAATTGTATATATACAATGAAACAAAGACTAATGTCTACAATCGATATATAAACTGACAGACTACGATCAACCGTATGATCGTTCATGCTCTGTACAATACATACTTTATTGATTCCTTTGATTCGATCGAATAAAATCTAGACGAAAAATAGACTTTTTTTGCGCATCATGCAAATCATAATAAATATACACACTCGTGTCGCTCGTTCTTTTGCGCTTGCGTTTTATCACTTGCCTAAAATAAATTCCCATTGCTCGCATCCGAGGGATCTCTCGGGCACCACTTCGAGTTCCAACATATTATCGCTTGTTGCTGCCTTTACTCGAAGCGATCGATAAACAGTATTTAGGCAAAGCGACACGCGATATGTCAGAAAAGAACTGCGCGTTGTTTTTCGTCTATCTTAACATATCGCTCGATTATTATTCAGCAGACAGCTATATTGCACAATCACATCCCGAACAATGAAGCTCCTTCGCTGTTTCCCGACTCCTTTAGCTCTTAGCTTCTATGACTTCTACAGTTGGCAAACAGTCACTAAACAGCTGATGTGCACCGTGGAATATGCGTAAACATCTAGATGCGACATTCGATTCACTAAAATCTATGAGTCATCAAAAATAAAAGAATGATTCAGTTTGTAGAAAAGAATACATGCTAGATGGGATCACTATTTTTGTCAGAGATTCATTAATTAATACTATTTGATATCATGGCCAAAAACATTATATTCATTTCTATTTTACGAGCTGAAAAAAGTAAATAACTTACAACTATTTCCAATTTCTCATTGTTTAAATTAACAAATAAAATTTCTAAACATTTTTCTTCGAAATTACGTGACACTGTGTCACTTTTATTGCTAAATGTCTGATGAGAAATGTATTTTTAATTCAGATAGTATGATATATAAAAAGAGACGGAAATCCAATCAAAAATATACCTCTCTCTTTTTAATTCTGGCCCTGATTTTCTATAGGATACATCTGCTGCTCGCGCATGCGCAAAAAAAGTAATGCTAATCATAGCTGCCAATTCAATCACGAAGAACAAGAGCAGTAATCAGTACTCAACAGTAACAAAGGAATATAAAAATGTATTAGGCATAGTATATGGCCTCTCTAAGTTCCTGACATTAGATAAATAATAACGACATAGTAGTTTTAATAATATATATATGTATATATATATATATTACAAAGCAATAAATTATGTAAATTAAAATATCATTTGACAGACAAGCTTAGTGATATAAATATTCAAGGTATGTAGCAATATTTTTATTTGTTTATATGGTATAATAATTATCGTCACACAAATCTACATTATATTATAAATAGCAGTCATATATAATGTTTAATATTTCAGAAACAACATTCGCACATAATGGTGGTTCCTAACACTATGATGATGAATGAAAATTTATTTAAACTGCAATGTTTGATTAAAACTACTGAGATACAGCAGAGCATACAGTGCAATTTTGGGAGAAGATTATTTCTTGCACTGACCACCAGCAATGCTGAAATTGTCCTTTATTTCAAAAAAGATCTCTCATGTTTGCCTGTCATTAAGAGAATACCTTGGTTTCAAGGGCCACATAAACAAATAGCTAGTTTTTGTTTCGATCCAACTGGTATTTGGTTATTATGCATAACCTTGGATGGTTCGTTGTACATATTGCCTGCTTTAACTCTAGTCGGTGAAAATTATGTTACTGACAAAAGATGGAAGACAGATGATGCAACCTATATCCCTTTTGTTAATCTTCAGCTCTCTCATTTTAGGTATTGTATAAAACTCAAAAATAATTATAAATAAATAAATATATATATATTTCACAATTATATATAATGTAATTATAATTATATAATATTAAAAGAATTTTTCTACATAGATCATTATATATTTTTAGACCCACTGCTATCACATGGTGGAAAGATACAAAAATGTCTATTGACATTGGTATCATAGGAACTGAATGTGGAGCAATTATACTTTTCAATCTATTAAATGGGCAACAGTTGGGTACAACATATGTCAATGGAAGTATAAGCAGTCTGCATATTTGTCAAAATGAAAACAATGAGGCTGCATTTGTTTTGATAACTAGTAAATTTCAACAACAATGGCGTTTATCTTTGAAACAACATTTATATAATCTTCTACATAATCTTGAAAACAAAGAACTTCATAGTAGCGTAAATTCAAATGGTACTATTTATAATAACACAGAAGATTCTTCTGTTCCTAATAAATCTAAGTTACAAGAACTTAAACAGCTCTCTGTCGAAAAACTGGCCATTTTCAAACAGAAATTAATTGATACTAAAAATCAAACATTAGGAGAAAGTTCACAATGCCATGGTAAGTATATAAGTATATTTTAAAAATACAGGAAGTCAAACAATTTTAAAGAGCTTAGAGAAATAATATTCCTGTATTAATTTTTCTTTTAATTATGAAAAAGTAGCATATCATTTTCTTTCCAAAAGAGCAAACTTGAAATTATTTTTCTAAATACTTGTATTTTCACAAAATATTTTTTATTTTTTATAATTTTATGTTTTAAAATAAAATATTTATGTAATTATTTATTAATACATCATTTTTTCAAGTATATTTATTTGCAAAAGAGAAACAAGCTAAATCATTAGTTTTATATTGCTTTTATTGCATTGTTAGGGAAATATCACTAAAATAATAAAAAGAGTTATTTAAACAATGGACACTTTTTGGATGCATGCTCTGTCCAATTTTGTTTATTAAATATTAATAACATGCTAATGTTATAGATGCTCCAAACAAAAAAGAAATTTATAATGGACTTGCTGTTAATTCAGAAATATCAGAATCTAAAACAAATTTTATCAATCCAGAACCAATATCAAAAGATACCTTTTTAACTTCGCAATATGACAGAGAAGGCCAGCAATTATATACATGTTATCATCCTAGCACTCATCATATCACAGTAAGATACAATTTTATGGTATAATAATCAATTTATCTACACACATGCATACACACATGCAATTTTAAATTTTAATAGCCTCTAACTTCTCTGTATATATGTTTTATTGTTACTAGAATTTAATGTAACATTAATTCTTATATTTAATAACAATTTATTATTCTAGGTGCATAGTTCAAATATGGCTGCAGTACCATTATCGATGCACAAAGTATTCGAATCATGCGAGACTGTTTTATTGACACATAGATTTTTTTTCATTACCGATATTAATCAATATGTGATATATATAATATCTGATCAATTATCTGAAACTCATATAAATAAAGATTACAGATTCAATTCCGAGTCTATTATCGGAACTTTTTCTTTTAAGAGCAATAAGGAAGTGATACGTGCGGTTTACAAAGTAACAAATTTTGATAATGTGATACAAAGAAAAGTCTCTCAAGAAGTAGAGAATAAATGTACTTTACCAAAGAATATAAAAGATATTAAAATTGAAGTACCTAAATTAGATACATGTATAATTGTTACAAATCGTTGTGTATACGAAGTTATTTTAAGGTAGGTCTTATTGTAGCAATAATGAGTGAGAGAAGTATGTTTACAGAATATTGTAAAGATTATGCATATTTATTAAATTATTTATATGCTTTTATTATAGAAAATCACTTTTTTCTATTTTCATGGAGTTAGTATTGAAAAAAAACGAGCTACAAAAAGCAGGAAAATTGGCAATGATTTTTGGACTGAATGGACAACAATTGCTGGAATATGCTGGTGATATATTTCTATCAAATAAAGAATTCCCACGTGCAGTAGCTTCTTATAAAATGTCTAGGGTAAATAAAAAGACTTATAAAATAGATAAATCATAGATTAATTTACCAGAAACAGAGAATTTAAGTAAATTCTATTGGAAATTTAAAGATGTATAAAACAGTAATTTATAAGTATATTATCATTCTTTTGAAACATTTAAATTATTTTTTCTCTCAATTAAAGAAAGATTTAAATATTCTGTTTCCAATGTGACGTATTTTATATAAAATATTTATCATTTCAAAAAAAGAAATTGCTATATATATTATCAAAAATTTCATGTAAAAATATTAATATTTCTTCTTTTTTCTTTATTTATCAATCGCGAGAATTAATTTTGTCTAACGTTTATATTTCAGTGTAAATTGTTGAAGAGTGTGTTAAAATTTGCATCAATTGGTCATACTTCTGAATTATTAAGTTGCCTTACTCACTGCTTATTGACACCTGTCATTACTGAAATGCCTACTGCAACAAGGATACATTTATCTAATTTATGTATTCTTGCCTTTATCGAAATGACATTGAGGGTTTGGTCAGAACAATCTAAAGCAATTTACAAAGAATTCTTGTAAGTTGCATTTTACAATGCAATTATCACACATTACCAAAATGATAACGATATGCGCTTCCTTTCCTGTTAAAATTGTTGGAAAAGTAATATATGCGCTCTTGTTTATAATTCTATATTTTGTGTCCTTAGATACTTTTTATCTACAAATATGTTTTACGACGAATTGTTAGCTATTAATATAGCTGGTCAAACTTATTTATGGGAAGTATTACATCATTTAGCTACACAGAGAAGTTTGTATGGTCAAATGTTGGATATTCTCATGAAGACAGTACAAATGTTTGGCACAAATAATGTTCGCCCAAAATCATGTAATGTATACATATATATGTATAAATATGATTGCATGTATCTGACAAACAAGTTATATACATTAATACAAATGAATATTACTAATGTATGGAATGTAATATGAATTATATGTATATATTTTAGATGGTTTACTTATATGTTTAAGCGAATCTGACTTGATACAAGCAATGTTATTGAATCATGATTTAGCAAGAGCTCATATGTTGTTTGTACGTAGTAATCTGCGGGAATCTCAAATTTTCGTGCTTCAGGTGAGAAATCTTAACTTTTAAGTATTATTTTTTATATAAAATTACAAAAATGTGAATCTGGTTTTTATGTCTCAAAATATATGTTGCAAAATATAAAATGATTTTATTTTCATAATAATAAATATTATATCATGAATAGATTTTATATAGAAATCAAATTTATATTCATATACAAATAAATGTGAACTGTTTATTTTATTTTATTTTTGTTCTTTTTTATTACATTTTTCAGCTCTGCTAATAATTATTTATTATGTTTCAAATAACTTTCACGCATTTTATAGATAAAATGAAAAGAAAGATATATATTATTTTCCATTTGACAACTAAATTAACAAATTAATCAAAGAGAAAAAAACTGTAAAAATATTTTTAATTACTTTTCTTTATTAAAATTTATATGTGAACGAAGAAAAGATAGCTTAATATGTTTACAAAATTTAAATGTTTTTCATTAAATGATTTTTCAAGTGTGCTACGATTATAAAAATAATAAAATAAAATATATTTGTAATACTTTGATATTTTACAGAGATTAGTGACATTGTATGATCCAACAAATCCAGTATTACGACCTAAATTGCTACAGTATATAACACGCCATAAAACGTCATATAATCTACGATCTAGTCAATGTGATTTTACAGATATTACAGATAATATTGTGAGTACTGAAAGCTATTTTCATATAAATCTGTATAGTGACCTGAGAGAGAAATCGATATTTTTCTTAAAAATCATAACTATCTAAAACAAAGAGAAACTTTTATATTAAATTAGTTCTCAGAATCGTTAGTATGCAATAGAATGTTGTTTTTTGATTATTCTTTCATATAAGTATATTAAACAAAAAATTTTAATTTAGCCTTTGGTTAATATTATATTTAACGTTAGATTTTATAATATTGTAAATAGATATGTCTATGCAATACAAATTTTAAAAGAAGAAAATCAATTAATATAAAATAGGATGCTTTAATTATGAAATATTATGCACAAATAACAAAAACATTTTACAGGATCAGCTTGATACACTTGTGGGAGATATAGTAGAAACGTTTATATTAATTTTATTGACTCTTATACATAAGAAACAATTATTAAACTCCAATTACAAATCTACGTTTTTGTATGATGTGCAATTGCCAGAAATAAACAAGGTAATTTCATAAATATTTACTTTTTATAAATTTTGATTTATACGAAATATGGTAAAAGGAAATAAAAAAAGGAAAGTTATAAAGCTTTTATCATTGAAAAATTATAGAATTTATGCAAAGGTATTTTTTTCTTTAAAAAATTGTACGTCTATGAAATTTTTTTCTATGTATCTTTCTTCACATATGCTTCAAAGTATTTCTTTTTTTTTATATTCTTGAAAATCTATCGGGCTTCTATTGTGCATGGTTTTTCAATATGTCTTCATATTTTTTAGATAATTTTTGACAATCTTTTTCTTTATATGTTATTTACATTTTTTAACATATAGAAATTGTAATTACAGTTACATTAATGTATTATTTTAAATTTTTTTTACATAATTTCGGGCATAAATAAAGATAAAATATATTTTGCATATAAAATTAGCGTAACATAAATATTTATCTAATTTTTGAATATTCGAGTGTTTTTGAAAAGATGCTAGAGAAATTTCTCAGATTAAGGAGAGAAAGATTGTCATATACATCAATTGCATAATTACAATCTTGTTTTCCATTTGCCGAATCTCGTATTTCCATTCCAATCATTATTACATTGGCTTAACTTATAATTATATCTTTAATCTTCATCTAAGCAGGAATACTCGGAAATAGCATTGCATGTTGATTTTAAGAGAAGATCACTGAGTGCTGGATTTTCTCATGTTGCTCTTATTAGAAATGGTAACATCTATACTTGGGGAAGTTCGGTGCAAGGTTGTTTAGGTATATATTTGACCTATTTTTTATTTAAATAAAAAAAGACAAATTATAATAAATTATATGAAGCGTTTTAATCCACGTATATAAAGTATAAAATTATAAACACATATTAAGAAAGTATTATTATTTTATTAATATTTTTTAATTAAAAGTATTAAAGTATATATTAAGTATTAGTAATTTTTAATTAAGTATTAAAATATATATCTCTGTCAAATTAAAAAAAAAACTTTTTTTATTTATATTTTAATTTTTCTATTATATTTTTGCCATAATCCTTAAAAAATTTTCTAGAACTTTTAAATCACACATTTTTGTTATATTTCTGTATATTCTTTGACTTCGAATATGATTTAAGATAAAAAGCAAAACATTTGTCTTTCGATAGTCACTACAAAATTTATATTTATTTGTATCTTTCGTTCAGCTCATATTGGTTTTTCGATTTTCTTTTTTAAAATTTTCGATCATTGATCCATTTTGTATTCTTTTCAATTTTTTGGCATATATATATATATTAATTTAATAACTATATTACTATTAATTAGGGACTGGCTCTAGCGTCTTACGATATGGAGCACCTCATGCTATATGTTTCTTCCGAAGTATGGAGGTAGAGGTTTTCAGCGTATCGTGCGGACATTGCCATACCTTGGCTGTTACCAATAATGGAATCTACGCCTGGGGATCAAGTCAATTTGGACAGCTGGGTCTCGGCAAAGTGTTGCAGTGTTCAAGTCCAGAATTGATCATTTCACTGGCGCAAGAAATTATCATCGACGCGGTGGCCGGGCAATATCACTCCGTAGCTCTTACTGCAGACGGCAGAGTGTTCACGTGGGGTTGGGGTATCCATGGTCAACTGGGTCATGGTAACACCGACGAAAAGATCACGCCGTCTTTGGTTACGGCTTTGCTCGGTGTGGTTGTACGATGCATCAGCGCCGGGTACGCGCACACCCTGGCACTATCTGTAGACGGTATTGTATACGCCTTCGGATCTAACGTCCTCGGTCAATTGGGAATCGGTGGTAACGCTAAGAGTTCCATACCGACGAAAATATCGTTGCCGGATGGAATAATACTTATAAATACCGGATATTTTCATAATGTAAGTCAGTGAACGATATATATAATTTGCCTCGCATAAAGACAAGAAGATTGATCCTTTTAAGGATCACAATCGTTTATTAACTCTTTTATTTTTATACTTGTATCGCTAAATAACATTGGGGAAGAGGCAATCTCATATATTTATACTCTGTGTGTTTACAGCTAGCTCTCAGTGATACGAATAAATTATACGTATGGGGCGCGAGTCCTCAGGTTCTCAGGTTACAAGCGCAAGCACAAAAGAGGACTCGTATATTAGAACAACAAGATGAAAGAAAGAATAAAACTTTGGAGGAATCGGAGAAAATGCCAAGCGGCGTTATAAATTTGAACGAAGATCTTTTGGAGGACAGTGTACAAACTGTAGAAACGGAAAGGATCACGTCTAGCGTAGAAACGCGAAAGAAACCATCCGGAAGCGCAAATTTGAGAAACATTGAGTTAATTGATGAGAGCCAAGCGCATTTAAAGCCATCTATCGTCGATACTAGTTTGATAAGAGGACAAATTACTCAGGTTTGTTGAAATGAGTCTGAAAATATTAAAAGATTATGTTCTTAAATTACACTTCACTTAATTTGTAATTTTGCTTAATAATAGTATGAAAGATATATATATATTTTTTTTTATTCAAATTATTTCCGAAAATATTGTTTTGTGACGCTAAAAAAAAATCCTGCATATTTGCAAAATGAATGAGATGCAACTATGTGATCATATTATTATGTATCTAGATATCAGCTGGCTGTCATCATAATGCATTGATAACGAAGGATGGCTCTTTATACACATGGGGCCGTAATCTGGATGGTCAACTAGGCAATGGTACGAGAAAAGAAGTGCCAATTCCAACGCCCTTATCTTATAATCCAGCTTGTATTTTGGCGCAAATACCACCTAGACACACTGATTTTAAGAAGACACAGAATCAACGAGACTCAGATAATGGTGCTAAATCAAACGATTTATCGACGAATAATAAAAATGCGCATGAGAATAATGGAAATGTTACTGGTGTATCGAAATCGGAAAATATAGATCACAATAATAAGGAGAGAAGCAATCCTATAATTAATACCGTTGGGATCGTCTGTGGTTACGATTATACGGTTGCGATACAACCAGGTTAGAAAAAAATAAAAATTCGAATTTTTTTGTAACTTTTTGTAATTTTTTTATATTCTAATCTTTCTTTATGTCAAAATTATCTATCTTAAATTTAAAAAGAACTTAGCAATTTTATTTTAAATGAAGTAATTTCAATTTTATAATTAAATTCAATTATAATTTACAATTTTTTAAATTTTATTTTATAATTGATTATATCTTTATAATTTTAGTAACAAATGTTTGATTTTCCTGTAAATTTTTAATATCAATTTTCAAACAAAATTATTAATTGTCTGATGAAATTCTTAATCTGCAATTTTTAAAAAATAGAAGCATAATAAAATATGATTGATTAAAATCATTATTTATTACACGATTTTTAATAGATTGAAAAGGAATAAAATATAGTAAATGTGCATTTTTTTCAGGAGGTACAGTACTAGCCTGGGGTAATAATAACAGGGCGCAATTAGGTCGTATCCCCGCAAAAGAGACGCGCGATACCGACGATAAACTTGTATTGCTGAAATCGTCAAAGCGAGTAGTACGACTTCCCAATACGTTGCACGTAGCTCTAGACGTTCCCAGTCAAGTGCCCGGTATTTCTATCCCTGTAATCTCTTATCAATCTAACGACGCCACCTGTTTCACTGGACTTATTCGTCCTCTGAGCGTCATCGAAAAGTCACCTGGGGAATTGACGCTTCATTATGTCCTGGAACAATTTTACTCTTTATATCATTCTGCTAATATTATGGACAAGGTTCGTTGATCACTTTATATGATTATAATATGATTAATATGATTAAAGGATAATGAAATTTTATACATAAAAAATAATCATTTTTATCATGTTAATCGTTCAATCGTTAAATGTCGTCTTCTAGATAACATCTCTTATATATCTTTTATATATCTTATATATCTTATATATCTCCTACATATCTTTTATAACTTGAGAGATTTTATTTAATTTTATCATATTGATTTTTTCTCTTTTTTTAAAAAAAGTAATAAAATATTCTTCAGCAATCTCTTTTTTTCGTAAAACATAATAGTAATAGTATCTTGTAAACGCAAATATATACAATTGTGAATATTTTAATTTAAATTCCAATTAAAACATACTATGAATATAATATCTTTTGATAATGTAATAACTTTTGATTTCTGAGTGAAGTTTTCATAAGTGTATAGATTCTCGAATGTATCATCATAACTTATCTGTTACAGTGTATCGAATTGGAAAATTATCAAGCTTGTTCTAAAATAGCGGCATTAGAAGGTGACATTCTGACCGCTTTTACATATCAATTGAAGGCGTTGCACAAATTAAGTATTCGCTCATCTATAAGTCATTCAATGTCGGAAACAATTCCGCGGGAATCCACGGCTAAGATTATTTCGCAAAATGCGGATGCGACGAAGGACACTGCATCTTGTCGAAGCATTAAGAAAAATACTGAATTGTTCAATAGACAGGCGGAGAAAAATCTTATGGAATCTCTGGAAAACAGTGTCACGCGAAGCTGGACAAAGATCTCCACGAGTAGATCATTGAATAACTTACAAGCGATCGCACAAGAATTTTACACCTTTGATTGCCAGGGTGGTTTAGAAGAATTATGTATAACGCGAAGAAAGGAGGAAGAATCACCTTCGAACGAAAACCAGATTTCTGACATTGAGTCTAGTCCGAACAGGGATGAGCAATGCGAATGGATCGAACATCTTTTCGATAAGAACGATTCACTGTCGCACAAAAACATTGCCCGTAACAATGTGCAAAATCTTACTCGATCAATTTGCGCGAAAACAATAATAAATAATGTTAATAATGACAATCAAATGAATCAGTGTGACGCGTATAAAGAGAATATCACGTTTCCTGATAAAGTGTCCTCGCGTTCTCAAAGAAATTATGTGATCAACGAAACCATAAAAGCACTAAAATTTTATTTAAACAGAATCAGTAACGAAGCAAATACTCTGAAATGTGAAATATTACGAAGCGCGATCCGTTTTTGGTTTGAACATGATTTACCTATGCAAAGTTTGGAAAATGTTTTTCTCGAACATATATGTATTATCTATTATCCACTTGGATTATTATTATTTTGGTGAGTTGATGTTACATTATATAACAGCTTTACAGCAACTTATGTTTTTTATCTGATCTTCGATTAAAATCGTAATTTTTTCATTTTTTTTAACATGATATATTTAATAAATGAACGCAGAGATTAACAAAATGCCTTTTAAAGATACAGCTCTTTTTAATTTTCTATATATTCTTTTTCAAATTGTAGATAAATAAAATAAAAAAATAGAAAATATATATTAAAGCTTCAATCTCTGATCGCGCACAAGAAACGTTTTTGACACATGTACATACAGTTCGGGAATTTCTAAGATAGTGAGACTAAAATGTGAAGCGAATCATGATATAATTTCTTTTACAGCCAAGATGCAATGGAAAAATACCTGGATATAAATAAGTGCGACAAAGAGAATAAGAACAATTGGCGGATAAGTGACTTATTCTCGCTCAAATTTTGTCTACAAATATTATCAATGTTGATGCAACATATAGATGAAGGTTTTTCTTTTTTTCGATTTTTTGGAAAACGGATGAATTTAATAAAAATAACATTAACGAATAACTTGTACTTTAGACGATACTATGCCCGAATACATCAAAATCTTCTCTTCTCTAATGGCTGATAATTACGGAGCGCCATTAAACGGATATCCGGGCACAAGTAGAAATAACAGCTCGCAACAAATGATGGAAGGAATTATCAGTACGGTATCCTCCGAAATGGAAGATTCCAAACTATTTGCACACATCAAGGTAAAATGTTTATCACTAATCTATATATACTTCATCTATATATACTTCATTATATTAATTTATATTTGTTATTTATATGAAATTGTTAATTATATCAAATTAGCAAGTTTTTTACATTAGTTTTTTTTCTTTTTTCTGTTAACTTTAAAATTAGTTTATAATAGTCATTTTAAAGAAAATTAGTATGTGTATGTGTCTATCATATAATAAAAAAATATTAATACTATTTATTTTCCATCTTCTAAATATAAAGTTAGTCAATATCAAGATCATACTTGCACTTTCTTTCACTTTTCGCAGAAATTTAAGAACTGCGATTATTTCGTGCGATATGTTCGTGCGTGCAAAGATTATTTCATGTTTTACAGAAATATAACAATTTTATTATATTTTTTAATTATATTATAAATCTTATTATATTATAGTTTATATTATGTTGTATATTATTGTAAGAGATTTATATTAACAGGATTCGGATGCTGTGGATCGTTTGCTCACGATGGAAGAGGATAATATGATATTTACTTGTGGACATCACTTTCCAATTTCTGTATACGAGACGGATGTTATTCCGACGATGGAAACCGAATTATTGACGTCTCCGTCGTTAGTTCTTCCATGCACATCGCAGTATTTAGGAAATATGTTATCTCATACGTCTAAGCCAGAAATTCTATGTCCATCGTGTATAGTTGGAGCATTGAAATTGACGGCAGAGAAAAGTTACGAGTGAAACTATTTCTCCGAAACACGAGCGAAAAGTTTGAGAATTTTTTCAATGATCTGATAATGATTTTCACGCGCAAAGTGTGATCTTTTCATTACGCGTACAACTTTCGAAATAAGGACAGCCATGTTTGCTGTAATTTAATTATAACTTTGACACTAACGAATCATTCTATGATTCTCGAACATATCCGATTTTTAAAAAATCGTATAGCATATTATAAATAAAATTTTGCTAAAAATCGGACAAAACGAGAACAATCGAAATGATTAATGCAGCATAAATAAAAAAGCCGCGACACTTTATCTCTTTTTAATTATAATAATAACAGGAATTTATGCTACAAGTCTTGTTTGATAATATCGTAATTATAACAATTAGAATTATCATCTAACCTCTAACGTTTTCTCGTACGTTTGTTTTTCATTCCTATTCGCGCACCCTTCCTCGCTCCAGAAATGATACTCTGGAACTTGCCCGCGTTCTTTTTCTTCTTTCTGTAAAAAGAATAAAATTATTCAATTTATTAATATATTGATAAATTAAGCAAGAGAGTGATATGACAAATATATTAATATAAATTAATTTATGTAAATATATAAATGTGTGTGTGATATAAAATAAAAGAAATATATTGTTGACCTCTTATTCAATGCGGCTCTTGTTAAGGGTAGATACGCGTAAGGGTCTGGTTTACCCTTCTTCTTGATATCTCCTCCGGCCTTCATCGCGCGATATTCCGAACCATGTTCGCGTTCCACCTTTCTCGCTTTTAGCGGTCGGTGAATACCCGAACCACCAGCTAAAATCGAAATTAAGATGGAATAATTTTTAAGAAAGATTTTCTTTAAAAATTTGTCGAAAACTTTAGAAAATTAGTCGATGATTCTGAGATATCTCGAATCGACAAATTTGTAAATGTACCTTGGTATTTCGACGTTGATTGACTTTTCAAGCTCATCATATCTGATATACTCTCACTATATTTACGTTTTTTGTTGGTGTTCTTCTCGGCCACCGATATATCATCTTTATCTTCTACGAAATGTATAAAAAAGTATTACGAGGTATATAAGAGATATATCATTAACACAATTCTAATAAATTCTAGTAATGCCTTACCGTAATCGTCCTCTTCTAAATTATCCTGAAGGAAAGGAGCCTTTTTCTTATTCTTTTCCTCTGTATCACTATCTTTTTCATCACCATCTGTGATGATGAGGCGGCCATCAGGTGCAGTTTTAAAGCCGTGATCTTTTACTTTTTTTACAGGAATCTTTGGATTTGACACGCCCGGTTGCGTAGCTGAAATATAAAATTGAATAATACGAATCCCTTTTGCTAAATTATTATAAGCCGTTTTACAAACATTAATTACATATACAGAATTACAATTGAATCTCAGTTTAATTAATTAAAAAAAAGAATAATATAGAAAATCAATTAAGAAATTCGGTTTAATTAACCAAGAGAATTAGAAAAAGACAGAATTCGTTAATTTTACTAAATTAATTATAAGAGAGAAAATGTTTAAGAACTTTCATTTATAAAGAATTGTAAACTAACTTGTGATATTTCTAGCAGCTGCAGGATCTATAAGATCGACTATGTTCCCCTCATTCTCTTGAATCCAAGCATCTTTTCTGGATGTTCTCTTTTTATTTTTTGTCGATTCCTCGTTTTCTGTAGCTTCGAATTCCTCGTCACTGTCAGCCAATATCTCCTCTATGCTCTTAGGTCGTCTCTTAGCGTTAAATTCCATGTCGTCGTTTTCTAACTTCTTAGCTCTTTCAAGCTCCCGCTTCTTCCTCTTCGCATCCTCAATCTTGTTGATGTTCTTCAACCTTTTGTTTAGGATCACGTCCGAAGCTGGTACCATACTCGATATCGGCCCTATGCCATACTTCCTTATCAGCTTCGTAAGGATATCGCGTACTTTTTGGCGAAAATGACGCTTACAATCTTCGTTCATTTGCGACAGAGCGTCGATCATCTGTGGTAACATCGGACCTACGACGATGGACGGCATTACGTTGATGTATACCTTTACATAAGACAACGCGGACTCTACTACTTCCCTCGTAGGACTCGTCAGAATCGTACAAACATGCCCCAAGATCTCTCCGATAGTCTCCATGCCCAGAGAACCATTGTAATGATAAGTAAGGGATGCCAAAGCCAGGAGAGTAGCGCTAATGTATTTTTGTTCGCCGCCTAAACCCACCATCAACATATCTGTATAATCCTTGAGGTGCTCAGGATTATCAAGGAATTTCTCGGCGATCACGTTGAGCAACTGATATGCCGTATTGCGGCATCTCTCGTTTATATCCTTAACGCCGAGTATGGCTTCCGGTACAATCGCCTGCAAGAATTTGGTCTTCTCGAGTTGCGGATGCAACTTGACGAGATGCGTCAGGCATCGTAAACGAGCGCCTCGACTAGTCGTAATCACGCTGGTCGCCGATGTTATCAGCAGTTTCTGAATCTCGCGTCTATGTTCCTGCAGAAATTGTTTGCACACCTCCCGATCACTCCCGCATATCTCCTCCAGAAATCTGTAGGCTTTCTTCTGCTCCTTCTGCTTGGTATCATCCTTGAGGACTGGCATGCACATGTCGTAGTATTTTTTTAATTTATCAACGTCCGTATAGCCAATCAGCACTCTTATCAGATCGTAAACGCTCTCCTTGAAGAATTCGTCCGCGCCAGGCTCATCGGCCTTGGTCAGCGCGCGTTCAAACATCTCGTTTGCCAGGTCGCTACTCGCGATTGTCAAGTAAGTCTTGATCGTGTCGAACGCGGCGAGACGTTGTCCTTCCTCGTCCGTACCGCTCGGTTTCGTCGCGTACAGGTTGAAGAGGATCGGTAGGTAGTTCTTGGCGAAGCGAGCGAGTTCGGCGATGTCGTCGACGCATTCGTCCCGCGTCGCTTTCCCGATTAGCTTCCTCAACACTGCCATTATGGATAACTTTAAGTCTTTCCGGTCACTGATCATCATACCTAACAGCTTGGCGATACTCTTAAAATTATCCTTTACATCGTTGGCGTTGTTGCATATGCTCGGCAAGATTGACCAGATTTGCGGTACCAGAAATTCGTACGTCTTCCCTTCTATGCCTGTCTTACTTTTCTCCTCGCATGTCAGAGCAATCGGAAGCAGAACGTCCTTGAAGAAGGAGATGGTGCCGCCCGTTATGCAGTCTTTCAACAGCGGGATCAGCCAGCCCCGCTTCAAATTTATTGTGTCGTCGTCGATCCGAAGAGGGAGGATGTTTAATACGACCTGCGGCCCCATGGCTCTAATTGCAGCTCCAATAGCGTATTCGACATCGCTATTGTACGCGAAATTGTAAGAATCTCGTAGCTCTCCCAGAGACCTAATAATATCCGTAAGTTCCTGAAGCTTTGATTTCCCGATTACTTGGAACATCAAGGCTATGAGATGAAAGATATGACGCCAGGCTTCGAGATATTGATAACTCAATGTCTTGTGCATTATCGAGACAATCTGAGTTAAAGTCGAATTGTACTTATTAATTCGCTCTTCGTTCTCACAGAGAGGCGCCACGCATTCCTCCAGAATAGTCTTGACAGTGTTCGACGTGCCAGTTATGACTTCCGTCTTATTGGATAACCAGAGTTCAGTACACTTACTCAACATTCTCGGTATAACATTGTCCAACATTGTCGATCCAACATTCAAGGTCGAGGACGTCGTGTTCAATGAAACATATATCAGATTGCAGTGAGCCTCCTGCATGACCGCCAACCATGCCAAGATTGGCTGCGTGTCAGTCATGGCAGGTTGATAATCATAAAGGGCTTTAATGATTTCCATGTTTCTTTGCAGAGGCAACGTTGCTTCTGACGGTCTTGAGACAAACAATCCGTGCAACGTTTGCAGACAGCACGATGTTATCAATGCATTTTTTAACGTCATGATACTTAAGAGACGTTCGCAGATGGTCTTCACATGTGACTTTGATAGTTGATGCATTATATCCTTCAATAATGTAAGGATATGCAGAATAGTGGTGATTCCCAATGATGATCCTGGTTCACAGGCGGCATTCAATTGTGCTATGCAGTGCGTCGCAACCTGTTCTGCGGCCGGATGATAAGTCGGTGGCTTCTCGCTCTTCATTATATCGCTGCCTTTGAGGACAGCACATATACCATGTTGAGCGGACTTGCGTACTTTGGGTTTAGCATGAGTGGTGAACGATAATATAGCGTCCAGCACTTGCGCAATCGAGGGATTAGCCCAGGCAGCAGCCTCCTGTACCCTCAACAGCACCGAAAGACAACCTATGCAATGTCGCAGGATGAGAAAGTTATCTGTCATAACATACTTAGAAAGTATCTGAAGGAAAATCTGACTAGCTGCGTCAAATTGCAAATTAAGTACGCTCTTAGGTACCGTTTTCAAGCTCATTCCAAGCAGTGACAACGTCGCAGCTACGGAAGTATCATCCTCGACCGTTTCCAAAGTGGTCATCAAGGCTGCAAAGTATTCTGTCGAGCTTTCATTACCACCGTTCTGCTTGATGATCTCCGTAACGGCTGACAGTACCGCCAGCATCTCTTTGTGTACGAGCGAGGTTGACTGAAAGTGACTGAGAAACTTGCCAAAGGAAACATTGGTGCAATTGCTATAATTGCTGGCGAACGTGTCGAAGCTGTTCGCCGTCCCGTTCACGGTGCTCTCTGGCTGATCCTCGGCGATGTCAAGTTTCGCGAACTGCGGCTGGATATTACCCTGGATAACGTCATGCTTTTGCAGATCCTCCCTCGTGATACCCGGTGTGCCGGAAAAATCCTTGAAGAACATACCGATGGCCTGTTCGCGGTGCTTTGTGGTCACCGGGTTGGAACTGGAACTCTGACCCTTGGCCCATCGTTTTGCCTTTTTCCTGCTTCCTAAACGAGGCAGCTTCGCCATCCTGTTTCTTCAGAGCACGTGAGCAGAGGTTAGCCTATTTTCCTCGTTTTTCGCTCGTTGAATTTCCGTTCTGTTCAGGGTGTTCAATTGTAATGCATAAACTTTCCCTTGGAAAAATAGGGATTTGAGTTTCCAGTATTGCCTACATCGATTTTTTGTCGCGCATGTGCGGCAATATGTAAACAAAATCTGTCGCCCGCCAAATTTCAAATTAATAAAATTCGTGTAGTATTTTTATTAAATCATACATTCGGTTTGAACGATATGATGAGTCATATCGAAATATCCATGTTATTGTAAAAGAATTATGCACATCTTTTTTTTTTTAATGCAGATAGATTTTACAAATGATAACTATATACGAACAATAATTCTAAACTGATTAATTTCATATATATATTTGTGCTCTTTTTTTTAATTCAGGAAATAAAAAGAGTTGCCTGTACTTGAAATAGGACACTATAATACATATACAGCTATATATTTTTTATTTTCTAAATTTCAAACATTTTTATATAATTATATGTAGAACCAATATAAAATATCATTTTATTCATATTATTTTAATATATTAAATGAACTAGAAAAAGAAAAATTACAAACATTTAAAGCAACTTATTTCATTGCAAGAAAAAGAGAAAAAAAAAAGAGAAAAAAAAATAGAGAAAAAATAATATAAACTTTTAAACTTAATAAATGTTGAGATTCTAAGATCTTTCTCTTCAAAGCCTTAAACTGAAAGTATTCTTAAAAAATAAAAAAATTGCTAGTACAAACTCTATAATATTTCAAAAGTGCAGTTCATGATGAAAAGATAAATTTTTATCTTTTATCTTTCATTTTTTGTGTTTTATCTTTTTAAATTTTTATCTTTTAATCAAAAAATACGTATATATATTAATCTTCTTTTTATAAATTAATATTCATCATTTTTCTAATTGTTTTCAGCTGATTGTTCATCAGTGTTTGCAGCATAATGTTTAATGAATCTAGCAGATGGATCCGTAACATTTTTAACCCAGCGCGGCATCCAAAAATAAGGTATAAAACTTTCTGCTCGCCCCTTGTAATATGACTCAAAGATATTTCTAAAATGAGCAAAAGATAAAGTATTATCAAGTAAGAAAGTTCTTTTACTCTAAAATGTTTATGTATACCTATAATAGAGTGCTTCTTTCGTTCTTGGTGTACAATGAGGGTATTTAGTGTGAGCTGCACTTAAATCTTCATCATGAACACGATTTTCTACTATTTCTTGAATCACTTGAAAAAGAGATTTCTTGATAGATGCCACTCCATCACTGAAAGCTTCTTTATGCCTCCATAGTATGTTCAAAGGTAATAAATCAGTTCCATCAAAAGCAGCTCTTAACAAATGCTTCTCGATTCCATCTGTATATACATATTCAATTTTTTTTGCTTCCTTTTATGCATTTCTGGATAGGGATTTGCAACATTTATAATGTTCAATTTGCTATTACTCTACCTTGAGGTTGTCTTATATTGGAGTCCAAAGATAAATAATATGATGTGAACTGAAGATCTAAAAATGGTACTCTTAACTCTAAACTAAATGCACTCGTCGTGCGATCAGCTCTTAAACCATCATATAAATATATATCTTTCAATAATCTTAAAGATTCATTATGAGCATCTGCTGCACTGGGTGCATCTCTGAAATAAATATAGCCTTGTGCCAGTTCATCTGCACCCTCTCCACTAAAGATTACAGTTGTCTCTGTATTCTGTTTTATATACCTTGAAATAAGATACATCCTGCAAAATAAAAGGTTCTTCTATTATAGATAAATCACTATAAAATTGCATCATTATAAAATTTCCTCTTCTTTAATTAAAGAAAAGAAACATATCTTATACTATAATTTTTTGATTTATAACTGAAAATTAAATCACATTTAATGTTATATATCTTAATATAATTTGTCTTACCCTATCGAAGCTCGAATAGTCGTAATGTCATATGTTTCTAGTGAATAAATAACTTTATTCAATATATCAATTACATCTTTTTCTGTAAAGATAATTTCATGATGCTCACTTCCAATATAATCTGCAACCTATATTGCATAATAAAAAATTTAAACTAGCCAGTAATTACTGATGAAAAAAGATGATACAAAAGTGTAAAAGTTTCCACCAACCTGTCTTGCGGCAACAATATCTGGACTGTCACCCATACCTATTGCAAAACTTTGAATCTTATATGGTAAATTATGTTCTTTTGCTTGTTTCACTAATAAAGCTGCAACCAAACTAGAATCTAATCCGCCTGACAACAAACATCCTATCCGTCTGTCGGCCATTAATCGTTTTTCTACTGCTGCTGAAAGTAACTTTCGAATATTGCCATGAATATCTTTTGGATTCAAGGCTGCAAAAAATAAATTATATATATAGATATATTATATACTATATACTTTCTCTCTCAGAGTGATAACAGAATTTCATCTACTCACTTGGCCAAGGAATAAACACTTGGAAAGAAGGTTTATCACCAGGTTTATAATAACAAATATTAGACAAAATTTTTGCTCGACCATCATCTAAAATTTCATATTCCTCATAATGACCTGGACGAAATGGTTCTAATGTCCATTTGCCACTTATGCGTTTTGTAATTTCCATTAAACCCTAAAATAATTGTCATATTAGTAAATTATATTTTATAGAGATGTATTTATAATTAGCAAGAAAAAAATTATTTTTAATTATTAATGCAAAATACCTTGCTTTCTGAACAAATGGCTAATTGCCCATCATCTGAATATAATTTAAATAGTGGTCTTACACCATATGGATCTCTGGCTATTAAAATCCTCCTTTTGGTAACATCCATTAAACAAAATGCAAATACACCATCTAGAGATCGGGCAACACTGTCGGCACCATTGCATGTATATAAATGCATAATTGCTTCTACATCGCATTTAGTAGCATATTCAAAATGATATTGTTTTTGTAACTACAATTGCATTTATATTATTTCATACGAATAGTTATTTCACTACTTCCATAAAATTTTGCATACATGTATTTTAATATAAAATATAAAAACAATAATTTAAAGTGTCATATTTATTGCTATGAAAAAAGCTATTAAAAAATGCTTTCTAAAGAAATTGATCACCTGACAAAATATAATGATGTATAAACATATATAAGCAAGTATATAAATACGTTGTTTATACCTGTTTCTATCAATGTCGTTTAACTTTAATCTTAGCTAAACTTACTCTTTTTCTCCTTCTAACTGTTTCTTTAAAAAAAGACAAAAAATAAGTTAAGCTAAGATTAAAGTTAAGTGATGTTAAAACAGCCATTATATAACACACATATATAGTTGTTGCTTATAAATATAATTTTTGTACATGTTATCATTATATTCCACTAATGATAGATTTCTTATTGAAAAATGTTAATCATCTTCAGCAACTTATAATTTTCTTATCAAGTGATAAATTTAATTAATTCTTATATTCTACTTGCCATAATTATGTAACATTAGCAAACTTTGTTCAAATCATTAATATTGTTTTCAATAATATATAATAAATATGCAAAAAATAAAATATTACTCTTTCACAATTATATATTTCCCCGTTACACAAGAGGAAGAGATTTGGATACTTGTGTAATCTCATAGGTTGCATTCCATATAGGCCATCAACAATGGTTAATCTGTGAAATCCTAGATACCCATTCTGTAAAAAAAAAGATATATTTAAGATTTGTAAAAAAAAAGATATATTTAAGATTTATAAAAAAAAAAGAATTATAATATTCTCTTTTCTATTTAACAAAAGTGACCTTAACTCTGTTATCAAATTCGATTTTAAAAGCTTCCGGACCACGGTGCGAGATCTTATCAAAATTTTCGCAGATACAGGTCAAGGACTGCGTGTCCAATCCAAACAATGCCCAAATTCCACACATTTTTTTTTTAAATAATCGTTAATTGTTCGAAATCAATCAAATCGTTATTGCCACGTGGTATATGATAGAGATCCCCGCTGTTACAAATAAAAAGGAATTTTGTAGAATAATCTTATCAAAAGAGAGTCAATATAATATTACGCGATGTAAATACAGCATTATTTAATAAATGATATAAAAAATTAATTAAATAATAAAGAAATAAATCTCATCGATCAGATGTACGTACTTTCGCGCCACGAGTATCCACGTATATATACGAACTACGTTAACACACTTCACTCACGTTATCACTGAACTGTAGATAACTACAGATTTCCAGTAACTGGCAGTATTGTATATACCCTTGATTTTTTTTTCTGATGATGTAATAATTTCAATATTTGCAAACAATAGGAGCGTCACAAGATATAGGAAGATCGAAAGAAGTTTTCAAAATATTTGAGACGCATTTATTTAGGTCATTTATTAAATTTGTAGAAAAAAAAGATGAATGTCAATTACATAATTGTACCATTGATCGCTTATATCTCAGCAGAGATTTTTATATGTGTATTTATCAATAGAAATCTTTTTATCATGTTTTCATATTTTCTATTGTGCTTCTATTGTGCAAATGATGGGCCTAATAAGGGTACGGTCACATGGACTGATATTTTCCGCGTAACGCGTACCGCGTACCTAATTAGAGGCGTAATTCTGTTATAGTATAACAGGAGCACAACAGAATTATTCTAATCAAATATATACGCTAATTATTCTAATCAGATATATACGCTACTTCAGATCATTTATATGACCCTTTCTAAACATGCGCGAAAATAATCCGACAGATCAATGGCCACATTCAGCGGATTCAAAGCTAAGTAACCATCGAACCTGATTGGTTTCTACTTTCAGATCCGACCAATCAGCGTCGAATTACATCGGAAAATCTAGTAATATTGCCCAACTGCCGAGTCCGCTGAATCTGACCAATCAGAATAAAGAAAAAAACCCATGGTTCACAATATCCAATAGAAAAGTTTATTTTCTTGGAAAAATATAGGAATCTTCGTCTATTGGATATCTATCAACCTATCACAAAAATTCACTGGGAATAGCTCGACCAATCGGAATAAGGAAATTTTTGTTCCTCTCCTATCCTGATTAGTCCGATTTGCTAACAACCTTGGAATTAAAATTCTTTCACGTGTCATGACTCATGACCTTAAGGCGCGAAATTGAGAGGAATCTGACAAGCGTCATCTGACGGCACGACGAACGAAAGCTGTCGACAGGCAACGTCGACGTCGCATATCAACGGTCGCGGTGCATATATAACGATATACATCGCACCTTCGGAGATTCCTGCATAATACGTGTCCGTCCGTCCCGTGTCCGGTGTTTCTGCTATCCGTAACGCGCTCGGTGGCAATATTACGAAATCTATGGGGATTGTCCGTCGCCGTCGTCGTGTCACGTTGGTGGGATTTCTCGTTTGTGCGTTCGCGTAAAAGGGCGCCCGGCCGGTCGGCGCGCCTTTTCTCCTTCGGAAATAAATAAACATGCGTCGGGAACGACTGCTATTCCACTTTCTGGCGTTTAGCCTGCTTTCCTTGCTGGCCTCTGCCGACGAGCACAATCACCTCGTGAGTACTCGCGTTTCAACCTATTCCTCCCTCGAATGTCCAGATTGTCATTCGAACCTACGTACCATGTTGGCCTCTCAAGTGGAAACGTCGCCAAATATTTATCTCGAATTTTTATTTCCTTCTCTTTCTCTTTCACTTCCTTTCTCTATTTGTGTTATGTTGAATGAATTTGCATGATGCTGTGTTCTTACTCGATATTAGCAATTCCATTATATCTAGTTGTCATTAGTCTTGAATTTCATCTTGATATAATGTCTTCTTACAAGCTCAATTAATTATTGTGATCAATGGATTATATCTTTGTTTCTAGTACGAAGACGGCGACGAGGTTGTCCTATGGATGAGTACTGTAGGACCGTATCATAATCGTCAAGAGACGTACTCCTATTATTCCCTACCCTTTTGTACAGGCATCAAGAATGTTATTAATCATTATCACGAGACCCTATCAGAGGCTCTACAAGGGATTGAATTGAAGTTCAGTGGCTTAGATATCGAATTCAAAGGTAGATACATTTATATGAACGAATACTGTTTGGATAATATTCAAAGCATTAGAGATACAGAATCTAAAACCTTTTTCCATTACAGAGGATATCTCAAAAACAGAATACTGCCAGATAAGTTTAAATGAAGAAAGCCAGAAAGCATTTGTGTACGCAATAAAAAATCAATATTGGTATCAAATGTATATTGATGATTTGCCAATATGGGGTAATTGAAAGATTATTTGTTTTACATATATATATATCAAGTTATAGAATTAGATATTTGAGGAAATTCTTGTATTACAGGTGTTGTAGGGGAATTGGAAAACAATGATGGAGTTGCGGTATCAGATTCCTATTATATCTGGACGCACAAAAAGTTTGACATTGGGTATAATGGTAAGCAGATAGTGGATGTTAACCTGACCAGTGAAAACAAGGTGAAGCTGGTGCAGGGTGCACGTATATCTTTCAGCTATGAAGTCAATTGGAAAAAGAGTAATGTCAAATTTGAGGATAGATTTGACAAGTATCTGGATCCTAACTTCTTTCAGCATAGAGTAAATTTCTTATTATACACACCATTCTTGTGACCTCAAATAATGAATATAAAATATAATATATTCCATAAATAAAAATTACGAATAATTTTTTCAGATACATTGGTTTAGTATCTTCAATAGTTTCATGATGGTGATCTTTCTCGTCGGGCTCGTGTCAATGATTCTGATGCGCACTTTAAGAAAAGATTACGCTCGATACAGCAGGGACGAAGAAATGGATGATATGGAAAGGGACTTGGGTGATGAATATGGCTGGAAGCAGGTTCACGGAGATGTTTTTAGGCCTGCGAGTCATGCTATGCTCTTCTCAGCTCTTATAGGTGCGGGCTATCAGGTGTGTATTCACTGGATACTCACTTTTATTGATTCGTTAAAGTAGAAGAAGAAAATTATAAATCATTCCTTCTCCAATCTTTTATATACAGGTCACAGTGGTTGTACTGAGTGTAATTATCTTTGCGATCCTGGGCGAGCTATATACAGAACGCGGGTCGATGCTATCGACGGCGATATTTGTATACGCTGTCACATCGCCTATCAATGGTTACGCGGGAAGCGGACTATACGCGCGGATGGGCGGACGCGTCTGGATTAAACAGATGCTCCTCAGCGCTTTCATGTTGCCGCTCATGGTCTGTGGCACTGCTTTCTTCATCAATTTTATCGCCATGTATTATCACGCCAGTAGAGCAATACCTTTCGGATCCATGGTTCGTAACTGTTCGTTAAATTGGATAAACTTATGTAGAAATCATTATGCTGGTATATACGATCAATCGTATGTGTGCAGGTCGCAGTGACATGTATCTGCATATTTGTGATATTACCGCTGACAATGGTAGGTACGATTCTAGGCCGAAATCTCGCCGGGACGCCCGATGCTCCGTGTCGCGTGAATGCGGTGCCTCGACCGATACCCGAGAAGAAGTGGTTCATGGAACCGCTAGTGATCATAATGCTCGGCGGAATCTTACCTTTTGGTTCGATCTTTATTGAAATGTATGTTTTTTATATATATTTATATATATCTTAAATTGTTCATCCAATCACTTTCTTGCGCATACATTGATCTCGAGCTATGGTCCTTTTAGGTACTTCATTTTTACCTCCTTCTGGGCGTACAAGATCTACTATGTTTATGGCTTTATGTTATTAGTATTCGTTATTCTTATGATAGTGACCGTATGCGTTACTATCGTATGTACATATTTCTTGCTAAATGCCGAAGACTATCGATGGTAAGTCTATCTTGTTTTTGTATTCTTTTCTGTTTTCCCAAATATATGATTTATACAATATTATATATTTATATATTTTGCTTTTCGCAGGCAGTGGACGAGTTTTCTTGCAGCGGCTTCGACGGCCGGTTACGTCTACATTTATTCCTTTTATTACTTTTTCTTCAAAACTAAGTAAGTAGAGGTACATCAATTTTTCATGTCGACTAATGAAAGTCTCTGTAATCATTCGACGGTTTTATTTCCGCAGAATGTACGGTCTCTTCCAAACGGCGTTTTATTTCGGATACATGGCGTTGTTCAGCTTGGCCCTAGGTATTATGTGCGGGACAGTCGGATACATCGGTACCAACGCATTCGTGCGGAAGATATATTCCACGGTAAAAATAGACTAAAAAGTATATTGCTGAATATAATATATACTATCATTTACATCGTGAGTCGAACGATGTAATTTCCGTGCAGCCTGTGATGCTCACGATGTTCTCGACAAAATGAAGTATACATTTCTTCATTTGTCTTGAAACAGTCCATTATGTCACCCGAGAATGCGATTTTTTTCTTACGTTTATCATTGGTTCAATTAATCCAACTGCGACTAGAAAAATATCACCGACCAACAGTATCCTTATTAATCTTCCAACAGAACTCACGTCACGTACTACCTACGATATTCAAACAATGTTCTCGCATCTCATTTATTAATTCTTCTTTTAAATTGCTATATTTCATGCAAGTAAAGATGCGCTGTAAATGGATTTTACTGTACTAGTACGCGCGCACATGTCGCAATGCAGTCATCTGTCAATAATAAAATGATAATTGTAAGTATTAGTCGAATTCCATATGTGAGTCTGAATAATTATATGAATGAAAATTCTGCAATCGTGCGCAAAATTATATTGTTATATATTTTTGTTTCAATATCAAATTTACCACTGGTATATTAACAAAATTATAACATGATGAATATTTATATACTTAATTTAATAATTATATATGTATATGTGTACACATATCACACACAACATACATGCACAGACACATATACACATATACATATATATATATTTATATATATATATAAACATGATTGCATTTATATGTGTATGAACATGTGTTTTTTGGAATGTCTCAATGCTGCAATATTTGTCGCTGTCTCACTTGTCGACAGTAAAAAATTGATCAAACTATTGATATTCAACTATCAAGGGAAGATTGAAAAGTTTCATCTTGTTCTTTGACAAAAAAAGCAGAGCTTTTGATTCGGGCAAAGCGTAATGGTTTATAAAGCGAAATAATGTTTTCCATCTCTTGAAAAAAAAAATACAAAGTAGAATCTTATAATATCGAAAGCTCTAATAAACAAGAGTGGATATTGAAAAGCAAAAGTATATTATAATTTACCAACATGATAGTTTTATAAGACTTTTGCATCGATATGCAAATTGTGTAATGGAGATATAATTGTAACTAGACTAATTTTAAATTCTGTGACTATTAAATCAATTTGCCAATTTGATTATCAGTGGAAAACTCTTAACTTATGATTAGGTTCTAGTAGTAGTTCAAATGAAGAGGAGAAATCGTGAATGCATAGTATTCATAGTAAGGTTTCCTTATATGCGGTATCGTAACTCTGTATTATTTTTTCTCTTCGTTCGAATATTTCCATTGTTACTTTGAACGAATCCTCGCTCCTGATTCTCTTCCGCACTGTATACCGCATTGCTGTTGAAAAAGTGAGAAGTTAAAATTTCATAACACAGTTAGAGATAGGTACTTGTGGATACTATTCGCGAAAAATATAACGACGAGTGTATTATATTTCATTAATTTTAATGAAAGAGAGACTAAACGTCGGTGAGAGTCTTCGAAAATAAACGATTTGTTGTTAGATGTAGCGATTCTAAAAAAATATAAAATTTCTACGTATACACAACACAAACGTCGTTTTTCATTTATTTTTCTTTACTAATTATCAGAGAGTGTCTATTGTCTGAAAAACCATGAAAAATCTGGAATTCTCGGGGATTTCTTTTGTAACTGAAAAATTTTATTTAAACTTAAGAGTGTTTTTCTTTTGTATGATTAAAAAAATATTAAAAAATGCATACAATAAAAAATTAATTTTAGGAAGTTGCAAAAAATTTTTCAAATATTCTCTTTACATGATTGAATTTTGAACGAAAAAAAAAGCGAATTAGTGAACGTTTTTTACAAAATTTGAGTAGATGACACACCCTGTAACTTATAGTTAAGATTTCATTTTGTCCATGTTTATTCTCGATGTTGTAAAAATTATTTTTTAGAAAAATTGAATGCGTGTGTATCCAGCTCTCGAATTATTCAAATCAGAGATCGTTCTTTAATCTCCATTTATTACTTTGATAAGCGACATGAAATATGGTATTGGCATGATTTATACGTCGAAATTATTTAAAAAATCATTAATTATTTTAAATCTTAAAAGGAGAAATTTTTAATAATGATGTGATATTCAAAAAATCAAAATTCCCGCCACGTATGGCAAGTGAAGGATCTTTTTCCCTTATCTAAGCGTTTAAATCTTTTTCCCTTTTATTGTTCTATGCGATCAAAAATAAATATTTCGACTATTGTAAATTCATCAGGATCAGTTTTCAAAACACGAGTGTGCGAAGAATTCGCTCAATTGACTAGCGTGGTGACAGTGTGGCACGAGGAGCTGCCGAGCTGTCGCGCAACTTTACTTCACGTGTCAAACCACGCTAGCGCACACGTCGCGGAACGTCACTGTGTCGTTTGTAAACGCCGGACACGCATACGGTGCTTTCGCGGCTCATCGAGCTCGTGCTCTGTTATTTCGTGAAACACACACTATCGAGGGAATCTGACGATGGCGCCGAAGCAAAGAATGCGCATCGCCAACGAGAAGGCGACGAAGAACATCACGTTACGCGGAAACGTTCCCAAGTCTTCGGTAAGTCGGTCGTTTTGAATCCCGAAGTCGATGTGGATCCTCTTCTGACGACAATTTTCGAGATGCACATTTCGATTCATTCATTAAGATATCATTCTACTTAAAAAAAAGAAAAACACAAGAAAAGAATGTTATATGTGTAGAGATCTGTCAAATTTAGAAAATGTGATTCTCCCAGAAGAAAAAATTATACATATGGATAGGGGATGAAATAGATAAAATGTAAAGATAATTTATACATGCTTGCGATTCGATTCTAATTTTTTAATTGATTGTTTTTGAAAATACGTAACTATCAACTCGAGATACATATAATATAATATTGAGAGGTTATAGATAAACATTTGTTTGTAAGAATTTGATCCTAGTCAAAGTTTCTCAGATTTTTATTTCTTCACTTCCTTCCATTAATATTATTTACTTTCAGTTATTATTTAGAATCTAATAATAAAAATGCATCAATTCATATATTTAATAATTATTATCGATAATCTCTCTGTATTAAAATGTTTATGAATTAATGAAATATATATATTAATTAATGAAAGATTTATCTTCCTCATATATGTTCCATCTGTTAAATAATATTTTGGAAATACACCAAGATACAGGAGTGTAGCCAGAGGGTGGGGCAAGAACAATGCAAAGTTTGATCTTGTAACTTTTTTGCATGCTTTTTAAAAAATCTAGCAATTTTTAAATACCTATATTTATTTTTTTAAGTATTTGCAAATTGTTTGTAATATTGTATTATTTACAATAATATTTGTTTATAAATCATATCCTTTTTTTTGCTCATCAAGCAACAAAAATACTCTGTCAGTTTTCTTGTCTGTTTTAATATCTCAATCTGGTTACACTTCTGCCAAAATATATTTATTTTCATATTTAAGTTGCTTTATATTTATAGCTATATATTTATAGCTTTTAAATAATAGAAATTTTTATTATATTAGAAATCGCAAGAAGAAAGTTCTCCAGTTGGTCCTTGGTTGCTAGCTTTATTCCTCTTTGTTGTTTGTGGATCTGGTAAGTACATATATATGAAAATATAAATCTGAATATATCAAGTTTACATAAACAAACAATTTTATATATAAACTTGTCTGTCTTATAAGCCTATAATTTTTTCTTTTTTTAAATTTATATCTGTTATAGTTGGTATATTTGGAATTTTAGATTCCCATAAAGCATATTTTAATTAAAAGAGTTGTAAAAAAATGATGAGAAAGAGACATGTTTTTTGTTACAGCTGTATTTCAAATCATCCAAAGTATTAGAATGGCTTGAAGATGAAGAAGAAGGAAGGTGCTACTGTTAATCTTAATGCAACATACTGTTTACAACTCATCGCTAATATGAAAAAAAGATTAGCGGATTATTTCAATAGATTGTAAAAAGGAAGAGTGATATTATAGGAAACAAAATGTATACTCATAATGGCAAAATTTTGACAGTAGCTGGAAAATTATTTTTCTTTCACAGAAGCTCAAAGATTTATTTATAACATTTAGCATTTATAAGCGTTTAACTTAATTACGCTACACATAAACGAAAGAAGAGCATTTTGTTATTATAATATTATTAAATGAATAATATTTCCAAAAGAAAAGAGGTCTTAATATCTAGAGAAAGAAAATAAATATCTGTTTATAGTTGATTATTTGCTATATCCTAAATATTTATATTTTCGTTAAGTACTTTTCATATTCTGCTTCCTGCCAAATGTATATTCTTTCGTCTATGTGTATGTAGTAAATAATTGTATATACAGGATTTATTATATGCGGATTTCTCCTCAAGTAGGCCTGTCTAAAATTGATAGGCTCGACGATTTGACAGACCTGTCCTAAAGCATTCCACTGTAAGCAGTTGGTAGGCTTTCTGTTGGTATAATGGCCTTTGTACGATGCTCATGCATTATCGATGCATTGGAGGTCATTATATACTTATACAAATATATATTATAATATACACATATATCAAGAATGATTTGTCTATACAGAATATTTGAATATTTGCTACTGACAGTGCATTATATCTCTTTTAATAAAATATATTATCAATAAAGATCTATATATATATTGTTTTACATGAGACATTTTAAATAATTATATCTCTAAATATATCACTAAACCAAATCCTTTTTCTCTGTATAGTTTACCCAACTGTAATCTGTCTTGTTTTTTTAATGATAAGAAGAAGATTATGTTTTGTTTTCACTTTTTATCGCTATTTATTGAACTGACACATTGTTCAAAATTCAGTTGTATACATATTACATTATATCTTATTAGTTTTATCATCTTAATATTTTTATCATTTATGTCTTATTTTTCCTTAAAGATTTTAAAAATATGATGGAGATTCAGAAGAAAATCTTTTTGAAGTTTATGTTAAATTGTTACAAGATTATTCTAAAATGGCGCCATTTGTAGTCGCTCTCTCTCTTAGATAGATGGCGATTGCAAAGGTTATTCTATTTTTTTAGGTTTTACGACAATCTATCTTTCCGATGAACTCGGTACGAACAAATCAAACGCAAGCGCATGGAGAGAATAGATAAACGGTTGTTTTTCTTTTCAAACGTTGAAGATTGTAAAACGATTATAGTCCACTGAGATTACTAGGCTTTCCTGTGTCAACTAGAAGCTAAAAGGAAAATTGCAGACTTATGATAGAGTCAGTTTTATAAGATAAGTGGAAAGAATCAAGCGTATACAGACGTATCCTAGACATCCTACACAATAATAATTGAAAAATGTCTAGTATATTTAATTTATTTGGCGAAATCGCCGAATCTGACAGAGGTGAGCAAAACTTATTTTTACGATTATAATACGATTCATATATAGTATATGACACAACAAGGTATTCTTTTATAATCCATTAAAATTATAAACTTGCAACTAATACATAAAATCAAATATACTTGTGAAAGAATATTCTTTTTTACTATATCATCATATAAATCAATATGATAGTTACAAAAAATATTCTAGTTCGAATAATCACATTATTTTGAATCTTATAAAGAGAGAAAAGTGTTTTATCAGAATATATAAAAATTATATTGAATGGACATTATTGAGTGATAAGTTAGAATTGAAATATATATAATAAATTACAGGTCATATAATGAAATCTATTGTGCAATCTGAAACATCTCATAATATTAAACTGAATTCTCTTAAGACTATGGGAGGCACAAAGCCAAAAAAACTAAAGATGAGATCAAATTCTGATATGAATCTGTCTCATAGCACACATTCAATCAATATCAAGAAAAATACAAATGGTAACAAAGAACTAGATTGCCTAAAACTGAAAGTAACTCAAACAGATAATAATGGATGCCCAATATCTCCAGGAAAAGAAAAAAAAGTAATAAAATTTATATATATATATAATACACAGATTTTAATATGTAGACTTGATTATATACATAGATTTTATTATAAAAAATTTTTTAATTGTATCAGAATTCTATTGTATACTTTTATAAATTTGTAGAGTCTTTTTTGTTTACTAAGAAATTATTTGCAATGTTTTCTTTTCCTTTATAGAAATTAATTGCACAGTCACCCAAATTCAAAGAATCTGCTTTAAAAGAAACAACTGTGATTGATAAAAGTCCAAAAGCACAATTAAATGAAGATATTTTTAAGAAACCATTGTCTTATAAAAAAAATATCAAGCAATTTCCTAAACCAGAAAAATTAGCATATTGGTATGACGATCAATATAAATTTGGTATGTATGGACTGTTATTCTTATTTAATAAATAGATAATTAATAATTAAAATGAAATTTAAACGAAATGTTATATAATAGTATTAATGCAGCAAAATATTTTCCAAATAAATCTTTCATATAGATTATGGATATATTGAGGCCATAGAAAAAGAATTTAAAGATCTACTTTCTAAGGAAAAAGAAAATATAAAGCCTTCTGAAGAAAAAGAATTGATCTCAGGTATAAAGCACAACATATATATTTATTCACTTGTAAGTTTACAATTTACATTTTCTTTTTCTTTCAGAGACCCCTATGTTATTAGAAGTTCCAAAATTGGTTTTTGATGACTCTTTTGATGAAGAACACAAGAAATTTTCATCTTGTGATTTACCTGAAATATCTGATATATCCGATGATGATACACTGCAGTAATAACCATAATATAAGAATTATTTTTATGTTCTCAGATTCTTGTAAGATTAGACATAAGTTTTAATATTGAATTTTTATTATAATAATTTATTTTTTATAATTAAATATGTTTTTGTATCGATAAATAATAAAACATTGTAATTATATGCATATTAAATTATTTGTAAATGATCAGAAAGAATATGAAATTTAATTTTTATTAAATTATAACATTTTAATAACAAAAATAACATATAGCACATCTTTTTCTTTATTCACACATTTTAAAACAAATATACAAAGAAATTGATTTAACGGATTTTTTTTAAATCTCTAATAAATATTTTTTAGTTTGGTCCAGAGTACGGAAAATCAATTGAGTAACTTTCACTTGTCTTCTCCTTTCAAGATTAATATATTAATGAATTATTACTGGTTTTTTCCGGATAATTCTTTATAGAATCAGATCTGTTTGGAAATATAGGCGCTTCCTAATATTAATCTCTTCCTTTCCTTTACAAAAGTTTACCTTTCAGTATCTCATAAACCATTTTGTTCCTAAAATACGGCATATCATCCTGTGTAAAAGTTATCTTCTTGTTGGCGCAGACATACTCGGCGAACATACAGGAAAACATTCCACAATCACTGCCATTCATTTGTTGAGGAATATTTTTGGCAGACTGCAATGTCCAGTTGCTCATATCGTATGGTTGTTTCTTCTTGTCCTGACTTTCATCTTGTAGATACTGCTTTAGTGCCATCAGGCACTTTGGATTATTGCCACCCATACTATCGTAATAAAGAATTGATTTGTCCCGGAAATCTATTATCGACATACACCAGTGAATATCGAGATGTATGGGCACGACCACGAGATCCTGTGCAAATATATCCACCTTTCTGGTCCATCGTCTCAGAGATGAGTGTCCACCTGAGAGTAATTTCGGATAGAAAAATGTGTTCATGGCATGTACCTTCGGGTATTTATTGGAGGACGTGCCTCTGGCGATCAACAAGTTCATATAGAAGTTTATCACTTCGTCATTTAACCAATTTAAGCCAGCCAATGTATGGATGTCCTTTCTTGTGATCCTCAGGCCAAAACCTTCTGCGAGAACCTCATCTTGTGGACAAGGTATGAGAGCATTTCTCACTTCTTGTACCATTTTATCCGTAAGCACTGGTAATGCTGGTTCTTCCGGTTCTTCTCTGTCATCCAGAACAGCTAGACATAGTCTCATAGAGCGTGCTAACTGTTCTTCTAGAGCCGCTTCCCGCGCATATCTATTGTGTTTTGATAACACACATGTCATTTTTTTCAGTTCTTCGGCCTCTCTATGCCGCTGCTCGATTCGCTCGTTATATCTCTTGGCAACTTGCGGGATAAAATCCTGCCTCATGACTGCTTTCGCGGCCAACTCGTCGCGTAAGGAATTAGTTGCGACGACTTTAACAGGCGACTTCGGCACAGTAACAGGTTTTACTGTACTGATGTTGGGCTTATCGATTGTAATCTTCTTGAAGGATTGTAAATGCGATGTAATATCTTTCTTGCCATAATCTAAAGTAGGAACTTTTCCCTTGTCTATTCTAGTACAACTCGATAAGTTGCCTCTGCTAGAGTACACCGTACAGGAGTGCACAGGAGCATTGGTGGTGACAGGTTGAACCTTATCATTAGGTGTTACAACCTCCTCGTGTTTTTCCAAATCGATTACTATGGGCTTATGCATATAAGTATGTTCTGCACATTTATGTTTCAATATATGTATCCTATTTGGAAGGAAATTATGCAGCAATTCTTCGTACTGATGTCTTTCTTTCAACTGATTTGTTTTACATAACGTAAGACATTTATGACTAGGATCTTGTATCCTGTGTTTATGGTTGATTAAATGGCCCATAGTAGATTTATTGTTGATTGATTGATGCGACATAAATGGAGAGCATGTGGATTTATAAGCGGAAGATGGAACTGATGCATGACATTGATGAGATGGTTGTTTCTTGTGAGTGCCATTCAACTTGGCACATGGTCTTGTTGGAGAACATTTCTGTTCGCTCAGGAATATAACATCATCATCGTCATCACTGTCATCAATATCAAAATAATCTTCCATGGAACGTACCGTGTTGCAACTGGTTTTAAACCTCTTTGGCGTATGAAATTCTCTCTCAAAGTTATAATCCCTGGAAGCTTTTCGTTTTTTAGATTGCTCATCTGCCCATCCAAAAATTTTCTTCAAAAAATCAAATATCATTGTCATTGTCAAGAAAAATATATATCCCAATAATTTTATTGTCCATTCAACACATTCACTGTCTTCTATTTAGCTCGACCTAAAAGAAAATAAGGAGATTATATATGCTCTAACACTCCTGAATACTAAATATGTTCTTGTTCAATTAAAAAGTTTTATTCAACTCAAACTGAAGTTCAAAAAATCACATTTAATGAGAAAAATAAAATGATTCTTGTCTATACCTTGCGTATTTTCAAATAAGGATACTTACATCATATCTGAAATTAGGCAAAAATATGCAAACACTGATACGTATTTCGTTTCTGACTAGCGGCCACCTCGCTTCGACGAGCATATTAGAGCTAGGGATTCTCAAGTGACGGATGGGACAAAGCCGCCATTAATGGATAGCGGAAATTGTAGCATTACGCGCCATTTTTAAATAAAACAAAATGAGGAATTATTTCAATTGAGTTGAATAAATAAATAAAATTTAATTAAATGCAATAAATGTCATAAATTAAGAAATTGAACAATAGTAACAAATATATATATATATATATATATATATATATATTTCAACCGTAACCGAATTCGCAACGTGTAGTGTGATTACGGCTTAGGGCTGTAGGTAAATCGACCAATCATAATCGAACATTCTTATGCGTTGTGAGAATGCTTGATTATGATTGGTCAATTTACGATCTTAGGTTATTAAATTAAAATCTTTTCATGGGCAATGGCTTTTACGCAGAATTCTCCCGCGTCTTTTTTCAGGAATGACTCGAGTGTCGATAATAAAATTTAATATTAATTTGAGATATTGTAAGAGAAAAATCTATAATTTTTTTAAAAAACTGAGTTATCCACGAATATTTTATAAATATATAGAGAAGAAGAGAAAGCAAAAAAGCTAAATCCCCCTAATTTTAAATTATCAAATTTGTGAGTTGAGAATAGAGGAAAGAGGAGTTTAGTTTAAAGGGCCTCGATTGTAACCTCATATCTTTACGTCTGGAATTGGAATGTTGTTTTTTCTCCATCTTCGTTTTCGTTCGTATATCTACAACAGGATGAACACCGAAGTCTGAAAAAATTTGTAAGATTTATTACACACGTTTTTATAAGAATAATACAATTATGTATAATAAACTGTAATAATTATTTTTTTGGACTGTAATAATTATTTTTTTGGATATCTAAAAGTCCTAACTTTTACTGCTGCATACTTAATAAATGAAGCAGAATCTATTAAAATACTAGGATTTATTATACTTAAAATATATTTTCCATTCTTTCTATTATTATATAAATGAATATATCTATAACAATTAATTATAATAATGGGCAATTGACTTTTAATTATATTTTTATCAACGACATTTTTACAGCTGAGATAAAAGTATTTTATACTTGAGTATAAAAATAAAGTGGAAATATATATATATTACTGATTAGAAGAAACAAAATCTAATTTCATGAGTAATATTAAACAAGGATTTATTGCTGTACATGTGGGTATGTAATTGATTCAGATATAATTTATAATTGTCCTATATGATTACTAACAATACTATTATACTTTCTTGTTAGGTGCTGGACAGCATTCTGCATCTCTCAAAGAAAAATATCAAAAGTTATGTCATGAAGCATGCAAAGTGGTAAGACTTTTAAATGTTTTAATTAACCGTAATATATATGTAATATTGGAAACTAACAAAAATAATAATTGTTCAATATTTTTGTTATAATGAAAAATCTCCAAATTTTGATCATAAAATCTACTATTAAAAGAGTATTCAGAAGTTTTAAAATAATCTTTATGTAACTCTTAAATCACTTCTATAATGCCCAAATCAAAATTGCTTTCTTTTTAATTAAAAATTGTTTTTCCAAGGGAGCTCAAAGTTTGACATGCAATGGCAATGCATTAGATGCAGTGGTAGAGACGGTGATGGTGCTGGAAGATTCTCCTATGACAAATGCTGGATTTGGTTCAAATCTCACCTTGAATGGAACAGTAGAATGTGATGCAAGTGTGATGGATGGCAATAATTTGCAGTATGGTGCAATTGGTGCAGTTAGTGGAATAAAAAATCCAGTTTTGTTGGCAAAGCGTTTGTGTGAACAGCAATCTATTAAATTTGCATACGGCCGAATTCCACCTAGGTACACATTTAATATCATTTCATCTCCTCAAAATATTAATAATTGTATTATATGTATACATATAATTATTTTTATATATGTATAATCTATTTTTTTACTAGCTTTCTAGTTGGAAATGGTGCTCATATTTGGGCACATGAAATGGGCATACAAACATTACCACCGGAACAATTAATATCTAGTATGTATACTTAATAATATAAGAGATATTTATTAGATTTTAGCAAAATTATTTCTGAGAGAGATTTTTCTGTGTATAAGAGAGTTCTGATATTTCTCGTTACATCTCTTATTTATTTCTAATCTCTTCTTATTTCCCAATATCTACAATTAATAAAATATTTTAATATTGCATTTCAGTGAGAGCTCAGAAAATATATAAACACTATAAAAGAAAAGTAGAAGATTGCAGTGTGGAGGCTCAAAAGGTATGAAGTTATTGAACCTGATTAAAATAAAATTTATCATCACTAATGATTGTTATTATGTTGCAGTGTGTAAAGAAAAGGATGGACACAGTAGGTGCAATATGTGTTGATGTTGATGGAAATATTGCTGCAGCTTGTTCGAGTGGTGGTATAATTCTAAAATATCCTGGAAGAGTCGGACAGGTATAATTAATTTATATTTCTTAAATGGCTATAAGAAATTGTCCATGAAACACATGTAATTTCAATCTTTTAAAAAATTTTTTTAAATTTTTATACAATTCTTATACAGAATGTCTGGAAAGTTGTAAAAAAAATGTAAAAAAGAAGAATACCAAGCAGACTATAAGTTACGATTTTTTTTAACGTAAAAGTGGCTCTAACTTGGAAACGACTTATTTCCGGACTTATGTTTATAGCTTTTTTCCTTCTTTTTGGAAATCACTTCCCGAAGTACTGCGGGCAATTTTCCGAACATCTTGTATACGTTTTTTACATTTACATCTTGTACTTGTAGATTTTTACATTTACATCTTGTACTATATTGTATCTACATCTTATATTCCAAATATTAGGCTGGAGTATGGGGTTGCGGTGCGTGGGCGTGCAAGGATACTTCTTATTCAGTGGGCGCTAGTACGTCAGGTTGTGGTGAACATCTTGTGCGCACCTCATTAGCGCGTACAGTTGCAGAAGCTATTTCCAACACCTCTTGTCCGACTACGAGTCTACATCAAGCGATGAACGTAGATTTTATCGGTGCATCATAGGTTTAGCATAAACAATGTCGCAACGCTTAATCAAAGCAATGACAATCTTTTCAATGTTTTTCCATTAGATTCGAAATTTCTCTATGGGCTCGAACAAAAACTTGGCGGTGTTATCGCTATACGTTATTCGCCACAAGAAGGATTAGGTGATTTTCTGTGGAGCCACTCAACAAATTCCATGATAATAGGTTACATGAATACATGTCAACGCACACCAATGGTATATGTTCCATTTTTTCTTTGAGTTTAATTTTAAACATACTTTGCTTGCAATATAAATATTTACACCTGAAGAATATTCTTATTTCTAAGCACCAATTTGTTTTCTAACAATATTATTAAATTAAATTATTTGTATGTTAAAAAAGCATCTTTTTTTATAGAGCTACATGTCGGCCTTACCATCGCATGAGGTAGGAAAGAAAGCTATTGTCGAAGGTGTCTGCTTCAAGATAAAATCTGAAAGAGAGGTTGAATAAGAGTATATTATATATTACCTGATTATAATTATAGATTATATATATCGCCTGTGATGTTTTGTAAAAACAAGATTTTGTAAAAATAACTGGTAGCCTAAAATACTTTATATAAAATTTTTATACGGATTCGCGTCAATTTGTTTCATGGAGTTCATACATAATAATACTGCCAGATTAAATTGTTTTGCACAATCAATTTTGCGAGATACACATATTTTTCTAAATTTTTAACTTGTTAACTTGTGCATACAAAATACAATGAATCATGATGACAGTTTAAAAGTAATTTTTACTTACAATACTTATAACTATACTCTCTATCCATCAAAACGCACATGATTTAATATATTTAATATATTATATATATATATATATATATATATATATATTATATATTACATATTTAATATATAATATATATGTATTATTGTATAATATATATGTACAGATATACACAGAGAATTCAATTTTATGATCGGTTCAGATGCTATGGCAAAATCATTTATCTTAAAGGAATCAAATATATTCTTAAAGATAATAAATATGTTATAAATTAAATATCTTTAGTTCTATCGATTATAATCGTGAACACTCTGCATATTTTGATCGATAGATTTACATATTTTTCAAAAACTTGTTTAATTTAGTAGAAAATGTACCTATATATCACAATTACAAACTGCCTATATCGTTAAATCGCTTTAATTTCTCCGGAAATACGTCCTTGAAGAGTACTGGATCTGCGCGAAATTCGACCGATTCCAATGGCATGATTCCGTAAATAGAGGAGAATTTGTTTATACACTGTGTACGTTCCACCATGTGTGTCAAATCCGCAGATAACATTTCAGTATTGGTACATTCAGGACATCGAAACTTTTTCTTTGGCGTTACCTGTATAAAGTTTTACGAGATTTTTAGGAAAATGTCAGTATCACGAGACTTGAATAAAAAAATGTTTGCTTACTTTTATCGGAGCTTTTCCAGTAACGTTTGCTATTAGAAAATTCATCGCGATATCTTCGCAATTCATATGCTCGTCGACCCATTCCTTTATATCTCCAGGCATGGCTGTCGTATACATGTAATTCCAATACTGAAAATCATATTAGTAAAATACAACAGTAACATTTGATACCAATAAAAATTATGTAGAAATTCTATAATTTACTTTGTTAGATTAATTTCTGTATATTCCTGGATAAGGATAACAGGAAAGGATATTGTTTTTTGACTAGAAAAAAGATCCTGAAATTTCTATAACAATATCTTTGTAGTCTGTAACATGTTAAAAGATGGATAACAAAATTAGGTTCAATTTTTAATCAGGTTTTAATTTTTTAATCAGAGAGAAGACAACGTAAATGTTTACGATATGTACCTTATGATGAAAAGCTGCTCCTGTTAAAACCATAGAAATGCTGTTTGTCCATTCACTCTCATACTTCCAACAATTAGTGGTATTATCCCACATATGTATACGAGATGGAAATCCAACGATTCTGTCTGGAAATTCCCTCCATACCTAAAAGTATTTAAGATAAATTTCATCACTACCGAAAAACTAGTTATGTTTTTGTGAAAGATATAATATGAAGTCTTTGATATTCAAATATACCTCATAAGCAAATTCCACTTCATCAGCAGTTAACATAATAATATCATCATCTATCGATAATACTGCTTCAGTTTCAATTTCGTCATATGGATAAAAACGATTTGACAACTTATTTTCCTTTGTTTGAATCACTTTTAATGGCTTATTCACTTTTGGCCATCTTGTAGCTGTATAATATTAAATTATAAAGAGAATTTGATAAAATGAACATGTGAATAAATTAAAAATACATGCTTACAAATAAATAAAAATTTCTTACAAGGTGGTGGATTTTTATGCTGATTATTCCAAATTACCAAAACTTTAGATAAACTTGGTACCTTCACAAGTTTATTGATTAATAGGAATAACAATTCCAGTCTGTCATATGTTAATATTACAGCAGTAAAACCGCGTGTTTTAGGAGCAGTTACCGGTAGAAAAAGTGGTGAAGGCTTCCCCTATAAAAAAAATATTATTTGACATATGAAAAATATGTCATTTTTGCTTCAATAGCTCCTTTATATCCACCTTATAAGATGGCACATTCCAATATGTGTAATCTCGTGTCAAATGCGGAAATACGCGGTCTGTGAGTATTTCTAATGTAGTTTCTGTAATCTTTTCCATTGTACTGAAATAACGATTATAAAGCCATGCATTTTGTTCTTGCATCTCCATGATACGTTGATGGGATATCTTTTTTAGCAATTGTATTATTAATAAAATGTCGACTTCGCGTACAAATACAGCAGCTCTAGAAATTAGAAAAAAAAAATTAATTCATAAATACAACTATGCACATAAAATTAACTATAGATTTTAATTTACGTTGCTCACTTTGTCCAATCAATTACATCATGGAATGGCATTGTTAGAGAATCAGCTATAATCACAGGTATACACCCAGCTGCCATTGCATCTAAAAGTGAGCTTTGGGCAAGCCTAGCGCCACGGATTATTAGACAAAATGTTGCGGACTGAAAAAGTATAAAAGAAAATCTCCATCATTTATATATTGAGAGAAAAAGAAATTGTTGCAATAATTATTATAAATATATTACTTGCAGGATATCAGGATATTTATAGATGCCCTTGCCAACGCAACGTATTGTATTATTCATAGGATTAAAATGTAGACATGGACCTAATATTAAAATATCCTTTGGATACGTCGATTTTACTTCCATTAAATCTTGCTCAAAAGCAGTATTAATATTGATTTGCGAAGACATCACTAACCATGTTCTAGAATGTAATAATTTGTATTACAAATGTATTATATACACATGTTACAAAAATCAGATATATATATATATATATATATATATATATATATATAATATATATAATTACCTCCCATTACTGTAATTTATTTTGAGATTATTTATTAGTGGATTGTACACTGGTAAACTAATATCAAAACCAGGCCTGTATGTCAATGATGACATTCCAGCACCTGCAATCATAGCTCTTCCCACTGGCACATCAATGACAGTGTTGTAATCTGGCACACTTCCAGGTACCATGTTGAAAATTAGATGATTCTCTCCTTTCTTCCAGCTACATACATAATAACAAATTTTATTAATTAAATTATAAACTATTGTTACAATAATTAAGTTGTAACTTACAAAGGTAATGATTTTAATGCTTGAGAAACCTCTTGCAATCTTAATCTGTTCTGATTGAGAGTATCAATAGAGGGAACAAAAATACAAGCTTCATATGGATTTGGAGTATAAAATTTACTGTTGATAATAGCATTCAGAATTTGATAAAATTCCCTCGTTATTTGGTTTGTTATTGGTCTACCCATAGGATCCAAGTATATCTTGGGTGGATAAACATATACCAAAAGTTTATTTCCCTGACTGCCGCATCGATATACATTGAAACAAGTGAAATATGTACAAGAAGAATTGGTAGCATCACTTGCAGTCAAGTCAGCGGATAACATTTGAGTGGGTAGAGCACTTACATCATCCAGTGTTATAGGAATATATTCAGAACGTTTTTGTATAGTGCCAAATTTGAAAATATAATACACCGAAATCAATATAATAAATAGTGTAAATATTAACAAACATATCGCAAAGATATTATGATAATGATATGAGATTCTATTGCTTTTATGCGATAAACGCATTGGGAATATCATCCTGTATATTTTATCAAATATATATATATGCTGTAAATCTCACATATATTATAAAATATTCCAATCTTCCCTGCGACATTAAACTGTAATGTCTGTGTGGAATATTTGCAACATTTGAAGCATTTTATGTGTAGATATTTCAGTATATATAGTATTGTGAGAATACAAATCTCATTATCAAGATTCTATCTTACTCTTTCTTAGCTTTAATTTATAAAATTGTCAATATACTATCAATACAGACACTTGTAACATATATATAAATAATGTATATATAGTATAAATGTGTCAAGATTTGTTAGTCTTGATTTTTTCTTATTAAAGTATCTCCAACAGATACAGTTATCCGATACAAAGCTATTGGTTTTGTTCTCTTAGTAATTTCTATATAATTATATCATTTCTATTTTGTATTTATAATAACTCTGTTCATCACAAATCTTTTTCACAAATTATATATTAGTTTCCTAAAGTCTCTCTCGTTCTCTCTTTTTCTTATCTTTTCTCCATCCTTTCGAACGTGTCAAAATTTTGCAATCGCATAAAAAAATTACTTTTATAACTCATATCAACTTTACAACTCATACATTCATGTTTTGATTCTACTTTTTACACCGAGTGTATTCCAGAGGTCCGTTCGAATAGCTACGCAGAAACCCCCCAATCGTGCGCGATGGGCCACGTGAAGATCGGGCCTGAGGCAATCGCCGGGCGTTGAAAACGTCAGCGTGAGCTCGCGAGAAGGAACATGGCGGCGATGACAGGCTGGTGACAATTTGATATGGGATGGGCGTCGCGTTAAACGAGGGAGAACGCAGAGTCTTTTTTTCTCGAAGTCGTGATGATAATGAATGGTGATACCGCGACGTTTAAACATGGCGATCATTTGATATCACAGTCGTCTTCCGAGCCGCAAGTTTTGCTGCTGAAGAGCGCGCGGGGGTAGTACACCGTATCTCGTCTCGTACACACGCCCGCCGAGGAAACGTCAGTGGCTTCGCACGTCGGGTTAAAGATCATCGTCATTTCCCCCGTGGCATCGAGAGGAGCATCGTAAGATGGCCCGGGAATACGATCATCTGTTTAAGCTGCTCATCATAGGAGACAGCGGTAAATATAAGCACACGGAGCATCACCATACTGTACATGAAGACGCGCAATTAAAGAAATCTCCGTCAGTCGTTCTTTTTTTCTCTCTCTCCTCCGTTTCTTCGTTTCTCTCCCGCTCCCCCTCTCTTTCTCTTCAATAAATTTTGTTCCGGGAAATGTAAAAAATTGCAGCGAAAAATGACAGATCGCCCAGTCTTTATGTGTCAAGTGTGATGCCCGTTGATCGCCTATCATTACCAGAAGTGTCAGTTTATTAAATGATGAGTCTGATGACATATATACATTGGCTGTCCACTGCACTGTTGGCATAGCTTAGATACATTTCATGATGAAAATTGTATCTTCCTGTAGGGCAGATTCAGAGCAATGGTAGAAGATTACGCATTGCAACATAAAGAGAAATAGATAATGAAGTGATAAAGAGATATTCATCGACTACTTTTTATCACTTGTTCATTTCTCATATTTTCACCATTAATATTAGCTTATGAATATAATAAAAGATTTATATACATATATTTATTTTAATAAAATGACTATGTTAGTATAAAAATATGAAATAATTTCGAAATATATCTCAGCGGTAATATTTATTCGTTAGAAGTATTTGCATATTTTGTAATTTTCTGAAAACTATCTTTATCAACATTTTATATACATGTAAAGAATATATTTTCTTTTGTCTTTAAGGTGTAGGTAAAAGCTCGCTACTTCTGAGATTTGCCGATAATACTTTCAATGGCAGTTATATAACTACGATAGGAGTGGACTTTAAAATACAAACTGTGGAGATAGACGGTGAGCGAGTAAAGCTGCAAATTTGGGATACCGCTGGGCAAGAACGTTTCCGGACAATAACCTCAACTTACTATAGGGGAACACATGGCGTTATAGTTGTATATGATGTGACCAGCGGTGATACGTTTGCGAATGTTAAGCGATGGTTGCATGAAATCGAACAGAATTGTGATGTGGTTAACAGGGTACTTGTAGGAAATAAGAATGATGCACCTAATCAGAAAGTGGTGTTGACAGAAGATGCGCAAAGATTCGCCAATCAAATGGGAATACAATTGTTTGAAACTTCTGCCAAGGATAATATTAATGTGGAGGAAGTACGTCGCTCTAATTTTTTTCTGTTTTATAATTTTAAATGATAAAACTTTAAGTATAAACTATTTAATTATTACATTATGCCAATATTATATTAATGATAAAAGTAAGAGTAATTATTCACTAAAGTTTAAAGAAACTTGTACATAAATTTGTAGATTTATATTTTGAGAAAAATTTACAATAATGCATTATTTGCAGATGTTCATGGCAATAACGCGACAAGTATTGCGGACCAAAAAAGAACGCAAGGAGCGGCAAGCCATACAAACCAACGAGACAGTCAACCTGAGGAAAAGCACAAAACAGCATAGGAAAAAATGTTGTTAGCGAGCGTTGTATAAGCATGCTACTTCCTATTCACAAAATATTATTTGATACGATAATTAGGACAGAATAAAACAGAGAGCATGTGTTAGTATCACTAGCGGACATGAGACGCTGGAAACCCTGATATTTTCTAACACCAACCTTTTTGTGAGTTTTGTATTCCAATTATGATACCTAAGATTGTATGCTAATGAAAAAAAAAGTATACACTTTTGACGTTAATATATCGTATTTAAATATCGAGTCGAAATATCGAGTGAACGCGTAGGGCTTATTTAGTGAAAACGATTGTCTATACGACATTCCTTTTGTGCTTTCGCGTGCTACGTTTAAGAACGAAGGCCTATTCATTTACAAAAGGACTTTTCACATATAAACATGCAAATATTAAAAATTATTTTCACACGAACGTGCGCCCATTTCATATTACATAATCGTTAAGTAAAACACACGACTAATAAATCCTCTTTCATAAAACATTGCTAATTTTTCCAAAGTCATTTTGGTCATTGCATAGAGTTTTGCTGCACAATGAGTTACCATATTTTAAATAAATTGTATTTAAAATGAGTAGGATAAAGTTTCTTGAACAAAAAATCGAGCGATCGATATTATTAGCTAATCCAAATAATTCGCGTAGGACGTTTTAGTAAAATTAAGGTACATCCTGTATATATATATAGTTTGATGACGCTTTCAGTGCACTCTAAAAAGATTTGATCGGACATTAGGCAATTGAATGTATTGATATAGAAAAAAGACTGGATACAGTTTATAAAAATCATAAAAAATCTGCTTGGTCATGTGAAATTCGATATACTTCCTTTCTACCATATTCAAAAGACAATCGTAATGAATTTAAAATCAATCGTGATTTAATTTACGAAATTTACAATGAGCATATTTATAACATTCTCTTGTGAATTTTATAATTAAATTTTTTTATGCTAAAATATTGTAATTATTTTAAGCATACAATTTGAGTATATATGAGAACAACAATATTTTTAAATATTTTTTAAAGAAAAAGATTTTCTTTAAGAATGAAATTATTAAATGCAATCTTTGATAATTGAAAGTGAAGTAAATTTTCTCTAGTAAAAGATATATGTGTCCTTTATCATATATTTCCATCGGAATACGCAGTATTTAGTTGTGCGCATGAAAATAAAACATTCAACAGTATTATATATGTCATTTTTTAATTTTATATACGGTCTAATGTATACCTATATGCATAATATAGCGGCTCTATAACGAGAAAAAGAAAAGTTTATATCTACGCGTCCGAATTTTATACATACTCAGAGAGATATATAAATACGCAGAAAAGTACTTTAAATTGTCCATGCATTTACGACGAACATACACATACACACGCCCCCATATACATACAGTTAAATATTTATTGCAGAAGGGTAAATAGCAAGACGATAAAATACGAATAATGATCGGTCATGTCCAGCTATGACAGAAGCTGTCTGTATTAATCTGTGATAATAGTTAAGATAATGTCGCCAGCTGCCAGTGTAATACTGCTGCGTGTACCTACTCCCTGCCTCCATTATAATTGTTGTAATTAGTATCATTAGCCATTTATTTCTCTCTTCCTCTTTTTTTTTCCTTTAATATCAATTACATATCTTCCTTTTAGAGGCAATAAAGCGGCATCCCACAAAATATGTACATATTCTCTACTTGCCAGTTTTAGTGGCACATTATTCACGAAATATTTCAATCGAGCATATTCATTCTTGTTTACTGTTATACAGTTACGACGTTGTAATATTATTATACATACTACGATTATAAATAAATAGGAATCTACATGTATTAAATAAGTATTGCTTCCACTCCTATCTCTGTCGAGTTGGAAAATTTCTACTCAATTTTTTCATATTTTTATATGAAAAATATTTTCTTTAAATAATCTAAAATATATATCATCTAATATATCTAAAATATATGTAAAAACAAGCAGAATCACGTTGATTAAATAGCAATGGATATACATGAAAAAAAGAGAAAAACAAAGAGATATTTTCAAGAGAACTTTATACATGTAATGATTCTTAATGTTATGTGCAAATTATTTCTAATTTATAAAAATGTATGTCGCATGATTTTTTTTTAAACGAATATATAATGACAATATATATTTTATTCCAAAAAGTCATTTCGTCGAATATAATTACATGTTAAAATCCTATATACGTTGTTACTAGTTAAAAGAGACTTTGTATGATAACATTCCTGCTATCGTTCCATTTTTTTCTATGCGTTTTTCTATATATTCGATTTTTTCTATAACTTATCAATCGCCAGTCAGTGAAGCTAACACATGCTCTATTATGTTATTATATTTAATTGCTTGGACATTATTTTAATTGCTTGGACATTATTTTTATATCATTTACTAGAGAAAAATTCGATATAAACTTTAATGAAAATGTGTCAAAATATACGTGTACAATTTCTTCAGGGTGCATATGTGCTCCGGATCGATCGAAACGCACTACTGACATCTCGAATGTGCAGCACGATCCTGCAATTCCATTAATTAATGTACAAATCGTCTTACAAGTTGAATCGTAGAATCGCGCTGCATAAATATCTCATCTGTGCAAGTAAAAATGCGAGCAGAGATCTTTCAAAAAAAGTCCTACTTTATAATATAAAAATTGTACATATCAAATATCATAATTATTTAAATCATACGTATCTAGTTGATGTATAAAAATTATTTCTACGTATTATCTTGCTACACGCGCTTGTCTATTTACCAATGTGCGTCTTAAGTTAATCCAAATGTTTGTTTTCTTTCGATAGATTTATTCCTTTCGCAAAATCCGAAAAATTATAATCATAACAGAGCGTTATACATTTATGAGCGCGCATCGAAAAGAAAGTTGTGGAACGAAAACGACGACGCTGATGAACCTATCGAAGATACGAGTGCAAAGTAGGCAACGGATAAGAGGAGATTATCTCGCGTCTCGGCCTCTCTGAACTTTCAAAGACTCTTTCCGGCGACAAGAAGACCGATGTCTTGCGTGCGCGCGTCGTGTGTTTCGTCGCTCGTGGAAAAAAAAAACGAAGGGGGCGAAGAATTTAAAAAAAAAATAACTAAAAAAAGGTGACAGAGAGGGAACACAACGGAGAGAATTCAGTGTTTATTTAATATATCGAGCAACGAATCGGCGGCATTCCGGGGGCAAGCGAGATAGTCTCTCACGCGCAATGTGGCCCGGGTGGCGAAAGAGGGGCAAGGGTGGTGAGGAGGAAGAGAAGGGGGGAGGGGGAGTGCTACGCGGTGTGCGCGCCGTGTGTGTCTTTCTCTCTCTCTCTCTCCCGCTCCCTCCCCCCGAGCCTCATTCGCCCGCCCGCCGCAACGAAAACTTAAAAATGCCGCCGCAGCGCAACCCGAATCGATATTCGCCGGTGCGGTCACGTGATGCGGCCGCGGACCAATGAGCGGGGCTCGCTCCGCCTGTGCCCGACGAAATCACGGTACGACATCTACGTTCGGGCGGACGGAACAACAGTCCGCGGCTGGCAGCGCACCGGTTCACAGTTTGGCGATGTGCCGCTCTGCGGTTGTCTCGCGTATGAGTGACCCGGACGCATCGGCAGGCATCGGCGGCTACGTCGACGGGCGACGTTCAACGACAACGGCCAGAGTATCGCGACGCGGTCGGCGTACGGGTGGCGCGGAGCGCGCTGTCGCTTAACGCTCTCCGACAATTTTTTTTTTCAACACACGTACACGTCGTACGTGAGTTTCGCGAGTCTGTCTGTCTGTGTGTGGTGCCCTATCGTCCGCCGGAAGAAGCGCGCGTAAGCGACCCCGTATATACACCCGTCGTCGTAGTGGTCGTCGTCTCGCGTGCAAAAAGAGTCAGCCAGTCGTCGCGGCCACGGGACAGAGCGAGAGGGTAGAGGAAGTGACTGCGGTGCGCGCGACGAAGATGGAGTGCGCGGGTGAGTGCAAAGAGGCGTGGTGGGGCAGGCGGGTGTGAGAAGAAGGAGAGGGATAGAGAGCGCGCGCGCGCGCGACAGAGCGAGATAGATACGCGGTCGGTGGGAAAGAGACACTCTCAGCGCGACGCGAGTAGGACCGAGAGACGGCGAGGACGAAGAAGAAGGAACGGAGAAGAGTCGTTCCAGACGGAGGCTAACGCGATATATAGGTAGTGCGTTTTTACATATGCCCGCGCGCGCGAGAGAGAGAGAGAGAGGGAGGGAATGGTACTTTGGTGAAAAGTAACTCTCTCGACGCTGTCGACGATAATCAAAGTCGCGTGTGTGTCGTATCTTTCCGACGATCTCGCGAGATAAATCCCCCTTTCCCCGACCCCCCGATCGCGTCGTAGATCGCGCGCTCCGCGTTGCCGATCCGTGTCGACGCGGTGATATCGCGGCGACTGCCGCGACGATCGATAACCGCGATCGATAACGGGCGAGAGAGAGAGAGAAAGAGATTCTCGCGCGCGCATGTGGGTGCGTGACATTCGTCGTATCGGAATAAATACGTGTGTCGTGGAAATTGCTCGTAGAGTTGGCGCAAGGTGAGGAAGAAACGCTCTTTCCGCGACGAGAGATCGGCGCCATAATATAACCTAACCGAGACGATCGGCGAGAGCGAGAGGAGAGGAGAAGAGAAGAGAAGAGAAGAAAAGAGAAGGAGGAAGAGGTACAGGGACGAGAGACCAAGTAAGATTTTCCAAGATAGAGGAGAATAATCACCGCGACGGGCAAGGGCACGACGAGCGCTCGACGATCGCTCGCTCGTCGTCGATCGTCGCGGCCGAGTCGCCGCGGATAAGACTTCGGCGGGCGCCAGCAGCGGCAGCGGCGACGGGGTCGCAGGACGGTCAACACGACGACGAGGACGACGAGGACGACGACGGTGGCGGCGGTGGCAGGTGCGGAGACGGCGGTGACGGTGGCGGCGACGACGAGGACGAGGACGACGAGGACGACGAGGACGACGACGGCGACGGCGACGACGACGACGACGACGACGACGACGGCGACATGGAGGAGAGTCAGCTGTTGATGACGGAACTTCCGGTGCCGCTGACGCCGAGCGGCGGCACGACGCTGCTGCATCGCCCGGGCCACTTCTATCACCTGCATCAGCCGCACCTGGCGATACCGACGCCGCAGAACCAGGCGATCCTCCAGCACAACTCGAGCGGGGCGGCGCGGCACTACGGCACCGACGGCAACGGCGGCAGCGGCGGCCTACGCGACTTGCCGGCCTACACCATCGGCCAGGGCGGCGGCATCTCGTCGCGGCATCAGCTGCACCCGCAGGTGCACCAGCGCGGCAAGGCGGCGACGCACGGGCAGGCCGCCGCGAGCACCCACGTGTCCTGCCTGTACCCGGAGATCCTCGCGCTCATCTTCAGCTACCTGGACGTGTGCGACAAGGGACGCGCCGCGCAGGTGTGCACCGCGTGGCGCGACGCCGCTTATTATCGCTCGGTCTGGCGAGGAGTGGAGGCGCGGCTGCACCTGAAGAAGCAAGCGCCGGCCTTGTTCGCCAGCCTGGTGCGACGCGGCGTCAAGAGAGTACAGGTGCTGTCCTCGCGACGCGGAATCAGCGACGTGCTCAAGGGCGTGCCGAATCTCGAGGCCCTCAATCTGTCCGGGTGCTACAACATCACCGACGCCGGTCTCACCAATGCCTTCGGCCAGGAGTATCCGTACCTCACCGAGCTCAATCTGTCGCTCTGCAAGCAAGTGTCGGACACCTCCATCAGCAGGATAGCGCAGTACTTGAAGAATCTCGAGCACCTCGAGCTGGGCGGGTGCTGCAACATCACCAATACCGGCCTGTTGCTGATCGCGTGGGGTCTTAAGAAGCTCAAACGACTGGACCTGCGAAGCTGCTGGCACGTGTCCGATCTGGGTATCGCTCACTTGGCCGGTCTGAATCGGGAGACCGCGGACGGCAACCTCGCCCTGGAGCATCTGAGTCTACAGGACTGTCAACGACTGAGCGACGAGGCGCTCAGGCATATCTCTCTCGGTCTCACCACCCTCAAGTCCATCAATCTGTCCTTTTGCGTGTGCATCACAGACTCCGGCGTCAAGCACCTCGCTAGGATGCCGAGTCTGCGCGAGCTCAACCTACGCTCGTGCGACAACATCTCCGACATCGGTATGGCTTATCTGGCCGAGGGCGGTAGTCGCATCACCTCCCTCGACGTGTCCTTCTGCGACAAGATCGGCGATCAGGCCCTCGTGCACATCTCCCAGGGACTGTTCAACCTCAAGACCCTGTCGCTGTCGGCCTGCCAGATTAGCGACGAGGGTATCTGCAAGATCGCCAAGACCCTCCACGACCTCGAGACCCTCAACATCGGCCAGTGCAGTCGGCTCACCGATCGAGGTCTGTACATCATCGCCGAGAGCATGAAGAACATCAAGTACATCGACCTGTACGGCTGCACCAAGATTACCACCAGTGGCCTGAGTCGAATCATGAGCTTGCCGCAGCTCAGCATCTTGAATCTTGGCCTGTGGCACATGGCCACAGTGCGGTGATGGCTTTTTCCGTGGCAGAGTGCTCGGGACACACACGAGCGCCGTCAACGTCATCGTCATCGTTACCAAGGCGACAACGACTCCTCGTGGCGACTCAAGGACAACCTCGTTTTCGCGCGCACGTTTCTGCCGCAGGCGGTAAGTCTCTTGCTGTCACTTGGAACGCTCCAAAGTCGTCCGAGCGTCTTCGACATGTTCGTCGACGGATAGCGTTAGCTCGTTTCGAGACGGCTATTTCTCTTTCTCGCGGGAGGGAAAAGCAAGCCGCGCTCGCTCTCGAGGGACACCGTTTTCCAACGAGATGGTGCATGCTACGAATCCCCTCGACAACTTTCTTTCCCCGAGAAAGCGACATATACGTGTCTCGAGCAACATATACATATTTCCGATTATACTTGGTCGTCGCGCGTCGGAGACGATCGCTAGATTAATTAAACGACGAGTCGGACGGGTCTCGACGCCTCGATTTCGGCGGCATGCTCGACCCTCGGAAATTTAGGAGAAAAAAAAAAACGAATATCTCGCTTGAGGTTTTTCCGCACGGACGAAATTGCGATCATCGTGTACGATCATCGAGACGATACAGACATTATGACACGCAATTGATCGATATTCGACTTGGGCCAAGTCAAATGAGGACGATACGATTATAATGAAATTTCATATAATGTTGTGTCGAACTTTATTTTTTAATAACACTTTTTCTATTTTATTTATAAAATTTATATATATATATATATATATATATATAAGTATTTATATATAATATATAAATAAAATTATATATATTTATATATAATATTTATATATATATATAATTATTTATATATATATATATTTTTTATTTATAAAATATATATATACATATATATATATATATATATATATATATATATATATAAATAAAAGGAAGGAAATTTCATATATAATTTTAGGTTTTCTTGCAATATTTTCTTAATACACGAATTAGAACATGTTCAAGAAAAAACGATACGCCTTTTTCTACCTCTTATTAAAACCTCGGATTAAATCGATGTGACGAATGTGACCATGCCTTTTCTGTAGATGTTTTGCATTTAAATCCGCTTCTCTCGATAATCGATAATTGCTCTTATCTCTAGTTAATGATTATAGCAATATGAAAAAAATTTTGTGAAAGTTTTGTTGATGAAACTGTATCATTTTTTTCTGCTGTTGATTTAAATTTGGCCATTATCTTTATCTCGTGAAAAATAACGAAAAAATTACAACTTGCATTTGCAATCCTGTGCGAGATCTTTTTTCAGATATCTTTATGGATAATGCACTGCAATTTTATGAATATGTTGTCAAAGATATTGGCGTTAGCTCTTAAAAAATAGATAGCTGTTTCATGTCTAATACTTGTTTCAAATGTCTCATATTGACATTTGTATTCTCCTGATTTGATTTTGCTCTTTTTTCGAATCTATCATTTTTATTCGTATATTATACAAGTTTAATTAAATAAAATAATTTTCAAATAAAATTTTCTTCCTCAAGATATGTTTTTAAAATATTGTTTCATAGATTCTTTTTTAGGACGTGTACAAAAGAATACATATCTCTCTTTACGAGTTATTTTATCCTGTGTGTCGCACGTTCTTATCTAACAGTTTAATCATACGTGCGAAGGTCAATGATGCAATGTATTGAAAGGCTGAGATTGGAACACGTCGCATAAATCTCGCGTCAATTGCACGCAACGTGCAATAAAAAAATTCGATCTGTTGAAGAAAAAAATCCCTTCCGCATGAAAATATTCAAATTTCTCGAGTAATCTGATTTCTATCTTTGGATAGTGGAACAAGGGCTTCACGGTAGATCGGATTGTTGCGCTTATATTCGCACGGGTCAATTAAATCTGACGAACCTGCATACCTATTTGGATGGGACCTTACATTCTTTTTTACGAGAGAGAGAGATGAAGTTTATTTGATCGCGTCACCGCAACGAAGAAGCCCCATTGACACGAAGAAGCGATCGCGAGACTGCTTCTTTATATGGCTTGTTGTGAAACACATAGCATGCACAGTGAATTCTCGTTGTTCTTGACTACCTTGGGCGGATCTCGGGTCGCGACAATCGAGCGTAGGACGACACTCGACGAACCTACGTATGTACCTCGAGATACGATTGTAAGCCGCAAAGTCGTTTTAGTTAGATGATCGAAGGTAAATATAAGGAACGCGGATCTTTCTCCAGTTTATATATTTTTCCCATATCTTTAATTTTAATGTATCTCTTTATAATCGAAGGAAGAAAAATAATCTCAATTATGTATTTTAAAAAAAATTGAGATTACGCTGAATAAACGCCTGATTATCTTGTATAATAATTCGTAATAATCTGTCTAAAAATGAATAATAAGAAAATATATATAACAGTTTCATTTCGGTGTATCATTTTATTATGGAGAGTCTTGTTGACGAGATTTTGATTTAATATTACTTCTCATGATTTCGCCAGAGTTCTCACTACTGAATTCAATTGTAATAATCCCTTTTGCACACGAAACTATTTCACTTCATTGAAATATGAAATTATATTTAAAATTGATTTTGTTCGAAATATTTAAGAATAAAATTAATATTTTAAATTAACACGTGTCTCATATTTTTAAGTGTCTTCAATAAATATACAAATTAATATCGCAATAATAATTTGAAGATATTGATTTCCAAAAGTATAATATTTTTTCGGATATAGTAATTCTCTTTATATTATTGTCTTTTTACCGATGCAATTTTGTTCATAGATATAATTTCATTATGAATTTTATTAATTGGATTCCATTACAATGTGACACATAATGTATTACGAGTTTTTTGACAATTGATATATAATAACGATAAATTAAAAAAATTTTTTGAAAATTAATCACCGTTGATTATAATCAATGATGATATTTTCAAGAAATTCTTTTTCTAGTTTACCGTTACAAATATAATGTAATAAAAGTATAATATATGTAATACTTTTTAATACAAATTAAATCTATTATCAATTTTTTTGAAAAATTTGATTTGATTAAATTTACTTTTAAGAAATACGGGAAGATTTAAATCACCATATGAAATATCCTATAATATCGCTGCTGTTTAAATAGTCTATTAAATTAAAACTGTTATAAAATTATGCTTCAGTTGCGATTCGCTTGTAATGATTGATAATAAGATTGATCGAATGATCTTTGTAATGGTTAATAGTAAAATTGATCAAATAATTTTTGCAACAGTTGACAATAAGATTGAGCGAATAATCGAAATACAACTTGATAGTTATCAATTTTGAAAATTTAATATTAGTTTAAAAAAAAACTAATCATAAAATAAATTTTTAATATCATAAATGTCGACATCCTGCCTCGAGGCAATGAAATAAGCAATAGCTTTTGCAATAAATATTGTAAACATTAATATTCAATAAAAGTGATACGCTTTTCATATTGACATGTCCTTGATCTGTTCCGTGCTTCTCTAAATCTACATATTTAACGTGAGCGAATAACGTAAGCGTAGCGAATTTATCGAGTGTGATGTAAATTTCATGATCTATGAATTATTTAATTGATATAACGATTATGAAGAAGAATTTTTTTTATTTTTAAATGTTTGCTAAAGGTATTATATTCGTCTTTTAGTAATGAAAAATATTTATATTTGAATAATATTTATATATTATGATGTACTGGAAAAATACAGTTACATAACGTACATAAGATATATTATACTATGTCATCGGTGAATAATATCCTAATACTTGTAAAAATCGCTAAAAGCATTTTTAAATGCGCCAGAGATTAAACAATATTACGTTTCATTCCGCGAGCCGCAGGGCACAAATTATACATATCTTTTGTTTGCGCAGAGTATATTGCGACTTTCGTGTAGATCGTGTTTTATATTTTTAGCAAGATTAAGTACTGTTTGTTAAGTTTATTTCATTTCACGAATACAATAATATCACTTTTATGTCACGTTTTATCATCTTATATCATGTTCGTTATTCATTTCGCAATTTTCTTTCCATCGGCCAAATTTATTTATGAGAAACTTGTTTAAGTCACTTGATATGACTATCGTCATATCCTGTTGAAAAATCTGCTTAATATAAATATTCATTTGTTTACTCAAATCACCCAATGCCATTGTTCTCTTTGTTGTTTTGTTAACTCTTCTTTTTTCATTACTTCTTCGGCAGTTTCTATTTTTTCGAGAGATTACTTCTTCAACTATTAAAGCGATTGCAAAATTTCTTCAATTTTGAAGATGTTAGTATTTTAATAATTTTTCGACAAAATTATTTGAAAAAGTATTATTTTGACATTAAAAATTAAATATTTCTGAAAAGCGAAATAAATCATTTTTAAATTATTTGTACAACAAATAAGATAAATTATTAAAATCAAATCTTTTTTTTTTTAATATTAGTACATGTATCGATAATTTTCAGTTACCTTTCTGGTCCTCTCTCTTTCCTCCCTATCTTCTTTGCCTTCATGTCTAGCGGAATTCCGAATGACTTAACCTTATATCTTGTGCATTTTAACTTGCTCCTCTTTTTGACTCTTTTTACCTTTATTCACTTCTGTTATTTCTCCTTTGTTCTTTCTCTTTGGCTATTCTCTGGTCCTTTCTTTGTCCTTTTGCTTTCTTTTCTGGCCTTTCAGAAGAAATGCTTTTAAAAAGTATCACTTGGTTTCCTCCATATTTGATTCTTCCTAGAGATATTTTATAAAAATATTAATTAAAAACTAAATTGTTACAAAGTTCTACCAATAAAATATTCTTTTTACTCATTGCAACGTTGTAATTGCATATATCGATATAACGAATTCTGGGTTAGATAATCACATGGTCCTGTAATCCTTCTAATATTCCTACTTTCATTTCACATTGTCTTTAAAAATATTTAATAAAATTTTCAATTTTTCTGGTGTTGTTTCAAGTATGCTCAAAGGACCACAATGTTGATGTGATTGTGACTGACGTGCGTTATGGCTATAAGAGATACTTTATACATAGTATTACTAAAATGAAAATCCTTTATTCTTAATGAGAATTTTACAACGATCTGAGAAAAACGATATCGCATCATGATTCGATCTCTCTGAAAAAAAATTAAAAGAGCAATCGACGCTGCAGCGGTAGCAATGACTTCGTAGCGCGACATTAGCCACGTTAAAAATTCGTTACATGTTAAATGCGATTCAACTAATCATGAGAAAATGAAACGTAGTTCGTTATACTTCGCTCTGCGGTAGGGAATGGTGGTAATGCCAAGATTGCACGTGATACTTCTGGGCTATTCAGGGACTATAATCATCTTTGCTCGTTCGCTCAACGCGTGAATTGTTCAGGCACCAGAATGTTGCATCGCCAAGATTAAATCCGAGTTAGCTAGGTGTTCTAATTAAATTTTAAATAAATTATATTATCAAAGTGCAAGATGGCAAAAATTTTGAAAAGTATTTTTTCAAAATGTATGTCATCTTATTTTTAAAATGTTGTGAATTTTATATTATAAAGAAATATAACACAGCCACTATTCTTATTCTTTTCCAATACGCTAGTTTTCTAATTCGCCTTCTTTAGGTATTCAAATTTAACATACATTTATTTCAAAGAACTGTATAA